TATAAAAAAATAATAAAAACCCTTGGTAATTTAAAATCCTTATATTTATTAGAAAAAAATTATGAAACATAAATAAACCTTAACTTTTTAATATTGTCTTACTTACATTCTAATTTATATTTCATATAATAATAAACCTAAACGCACAACAATCGGGATGGGCGGGCAAGCACGTCGCAACAGGATTAACAGGAATACTAAACTGTTGTTAAATTGTTTTCTTACTTGCACTTTTAGGTGGTGGGAAACAACAGGGCCTAATATTAATGTATTTAGACATTGGCTCAACGTATTTGGCGATAAAGTTATGATTTGTTGTATTATTTAATGTGTTAGGGCATTATATTTTGCTAAGGGGACATAAGTTGATGTATATATAGGCATTAATGTAATAATTTTAGATTATTAAATTATACCATTTAGAGTATTACTCTATTAAGCCTTAACATTAATTTTATCACTGAGCAATGATTAACTAATGTACTCTAGGTTATTGATTTAATGTAAATAATCATCGTATTAATGTAAAATATTATTATATATTAATTAATGTATTTTGGCTAAAAAATAATAAAATTCTTGCACTAGGATAATGACCAGGCAGACATTGTGACAATCCAATAATACATTAACTCATATTTTTTAAGCATTATCATAATTATTTGATTGCATTAATACTATGAAAAGGACATTATCGTAATGATTTTGCACTTAATGATCGTAGGACATTAATATCAGGTACGATATTTTTTTCTGTGTAAAATTTTACTATGTACAAGGGCTAATAAAGATATTATTATTTTTTTTTTATTAAATGAATACCTACCATTGTTTTTAATATTTTTTTGTAATAAATAATTTTTTTATTAAATACTTACTTTTTTTTATTTTATCAATAATATTTTATTGCATAAAAATTATTTTTTATTTAAATTTTATTAAATAAAGAAAAATGGAAAATAAATGGGTGAATCTCACGAAATGTCCCCCGATGGTGTTACCCCGTGATATTTAATAAAACTAAAGTTGATCTACACTTTTATTGTGTTTTGATCTTTCATAATTAAGTAGATATTACAGCTCAGATTCCAGATTTTTAACCGGAATTAATTATTTTTTACAATGTTTTAAAAGTCTAAAACCTATCCTCCGTGACGGTTACTCTTTCTAGGTTAAGCTATGTTTTCAAATATCTGAGGTAGTAAAAGCATACTAAAAATATCAGTTCACTAAGTAAATTAAACACATCTAAAGTAATCGAATCAAATATAAAATATTTTTAAAAATTAAATGAAATAATTTTTATAACCATTTATGTAGGTGTTACAAAAATTGATTCTATCCTCCGTGAATCTGTTTTTGCTCTAAATTTTATGCAACGGATGGCGCTTTAATCATTTTAAATAAGTAAAAACCTAGGTTTACGATATTATAGATGCATGTGATTCCTGAAGGTCAGTTAGAATTTATATGCAGATGAGAGTGTTGCTGTTTTATAATTCAAAAGCTTAAGTTTATTAATTTGCTATTTAAAAACCTATCCATCGTGAAGTGTAATATCTCAGTAAGTAGATTTTATTATAAATATTTTATGTAGGTATGTATGTATACATACATGTATACCCACTAAGCAAAATACTGTTGGGCGAACGTTGCAGCGATGTTAACAGTAACGCTGTAACGTTAACTGGGGGGTAACATTAACGTCACTTAAACATTACAACAACGGTTAATGTCCGCCTCATGAACGTTTAAATGTTACATTGCAACGTCAACGTTGAAACAACGTTAAACCGTGCCGTACAGGTGCTATTATAATAGTTATAACTGATGCATTAGCGTAACGTTAAAGTTAAACGTTAATTTACTGTTTTTAAATGAACGTTAATAAAACGTTGAAATTAATTGTTTTATTAACGCAGCTCTGGATGCCAATTCTTGGCGGGAAAGACAAACAAAGATATAGATTTAAAAAGAACTTGTTATATTTACTTCTTTCGACATTATTTGTAAAAAATCTTCTTTTTTTATAATTTTTTTAAAACCCGTTGATGGCCTTGACGAAACCACTCCATAGCAGATTCTTCCGGATAGCTAGTTTCAACACCACCTGCAAAAAAAAAAGAAATTTAGCTTAAGCTGACAAAAACAATAATTTTAGATCCATGACTCTAAAATAATTGTTCTTGCGGACATATTGACATTTTTAATTTTAGTTTAGATTTGTTTATTTCTGTTAACTTAAATATTTCTGAATTAATACTTTAACAAAGCTATTGAGGCAAAAGGCGCCACGAGGAAACCACCTAACAGAAATAAACAAATCTCTCGTATATATACAAATATACAAGTTGTATTATACAACTGAACAGCTGCCACCTGTCGCCCTCGACATCAGCGATTTTGACCAAACTTGGAACATTCCAAGTTTGGTCAAAATCGCTGATGTCGAGGGCGAAAGGTGGCAGCTGCCACCAACCTAGGTTTGGCGCATTTACATATATTTACGAGGTTGCTCCTGACAAACCTAACCTAGGATAGTAAATCTTTTTGAAAATAGTGCCTTTTTAGTCCAATAAAATTGTCCCGGATTTTCACTGTCAGGCGTTCGTAACAATTGACAGAAGTATAGATGCGTTTAATCGCAATCTTAATTTTGATAATAAACGTCGGACGCAGTGAAATAAAAATAATGCCAATATTGGTATAAAAACACCAACACGCCTGCATTAAGTTACATTACATTAAATGCTGGCTACATCCGCCTTATTAAACAATTGTTATATTTAGTTAAATTTAATTGAATTAATTCAATTAAATTTAACTAAATATAATATATATTAGCTTAAATATATTAATATATATTAGCTTATATTATATATAGGTACACACCTGCTGTTGAATGACTTTGTTGTTGTTGTTTGTTATATGGTTGTTGCACTTGTTTTTGTCCTTGCCCTTGCCCATGCCTTTGTTGCTTTTGGATAAAAAATGTATGTTAATTTTGGCTTAAACTAACTCCTTCCTGGTAACGATAATAAGCTGAGATCTAAAACTAAACATAGCAATTTCAGACTTGATGCAAGTTAAAACAAATTAAGTAAAGGTGCTTTGCATAGTAGGTACCACTGATAAGAAAATATTACCCAAAATAATAAGGTTAAACAGGTACCTATTTAATTGTTTTAAACTATTTTTTTATGAAAAAGTACCTAAACCCGTTAAAAATAAAGAATGAAATATTTAAAATCGCTAGAATATAAATTTTTGTAAATATAGGTATATTACTATAAATATCAAATTATAATTTGCAATCTCAATTAATTTGCTTTAACATAAATTGTAGTGTTAATAATTATCTTTGAATGAACCTTATAAATAAAGAATATAAATATATATAATATAAAGATAATTATTAACACTACAATTTATGTTAAAGCAAATTAATTGAGATTGAGACGCCATCGCCATTTTGTTATGCTATTTACTGCACGAGCCGGCAAACCACAGAGGCAAAGTGTTTACAATAGTTTTTAATATATACATATTTAGGCACTTACCTACCAAAATTTCCTCATCTAGATTTGAAACGTAAAAACCAATAACACTGATTGCACTTCCCATTAATTATTTTTGTAAAAATTGCACTGCATCTATTATGCACGCTAACGATAGACTGCGCTTTGAGGTTATGTTCTGTCACAGAACTTCTGTGTTGTTATCTTAACGTAGTCATATGAAACGTTCACGTACTTATAACATTTAACGTTGCCTTAATGGCACAAAATTTAACGTTGTAATTAATTCGTTCTCCTAACGCAGCAATGGATAACATTGCTGTACCACTACACTATTAACAGTTACTCAACGTTTCCGAAAAAACGTTATATTATCAACGTTGACACAACACACTGGCAATGTGTTCGAAAACACCATTAATTTACTGAATTGTATGAACGTCAGTATAACAATACAAAGTAACGTTCATTTTGATACAAAGTAACGTTCATTTTGATACTCTCGATCTGCTAACGTTGACCAACGTTATTTAAACGTTTCTTGCTTAGTGGGTATGTATATGTACAATTGTATTTTTAAAAAATATTAAGGTGTCAAAAGATACAATAACTTATTTCAAATATAGGGATGTTTTAAAAAAACATACGAAATCCTAACCTCCGTGAAGCTATCTTCTTGCATTAGTGCAGAACCACTTATGTTATTACTGGACCTGGTGGCTTCCCAAAAACCCGATTCTAGACTAACAGTGAAACAACCAAAAATAAAAAATAATCATTTTCACTTGGGGTACATCTCAATATATTCACCCAAATATGTACATTTTTTAAATTAATGAAAAATAATTTTTTATGCAATATTGCATTTCATATCATATGATATAATTTTTTTATGTCAATATATTTTTTTTTAATAAAAAAGTAAATACTTAAAAAAATATTAAATATTTCTAATTTAATGAAATATTTTTTTTTTATAAAATTAAATATAATTTAATAAAAAATTATTTCCTTATTTAATAAATTTAAATTATTAAATAAAAAACCTTCTAATGAAATAATAATTAAAAATTAATATTTTCAGCTAAAAATTTGAGAAACCTATTTTTTCTATAAAATTCTACCTTAACAAGGAAAAACATGTAAAAAAATCGATTTTTGACAATTTTTTATATTTTAAAAAACCTTGAGCGACCCTTAAAAAATTTGTTTCATCATCCCGACCATTTCAAGCATGCGGATGGTACAAATCACAAAATTGTTTTTATAAAAAAAATTTCAAAGAGCTACCAGACAACACGAGACGTAAAACCGATCTGAGACATAAATCTCGTCTGTGCCCCTAGTTTTGTGCCTTTTCAACTAAAAAATAAAAAAAATGTATACGAAGTGTTTAGTCTATGGTTGTGGAGCTAAGCTAGCTATGGTTGTCTACGCGTCGAACGTCTATGGTCGCTACATTCACGCTTTATTCACGGCTAACTTCATTCGCATTGCTTCTGTCTTCACGGTTTTGAATGGTGAATGTGTTTACAAATTTTTTGGATTATTTTCGGCGTTTTTAGTGTAGTGCAAATGAACGGGGGTTTAAGAATAAAGGGTGAGTGCTGTTTTTATCAATTTTATCAGATTTGTGCGAAATTAATTGTTATATGCGGTAAAAACTCGGTTTTTATTATTGTAACCCTACTTTTTGGGTTGTATTTTTGTTTTTAAACAGTTAAGTGTTTTTACTGGATATAAACTAAAATTGTTTAATTATAATGTTTTTTTGTGTAATATTATATTGGTTTATTGTGTTTTTTATGTAGATTAACGTTTAGTATCGGTTTAATAAGCATTATTTTAGATTTTTTTTACCTATAATTAAAATGGGTTTAACCGTTTAATTGTTAAATAACATTTTTATTATTTAATTTTGATATGTAGATATATGCAAGTTCATTTTGTTTTTATCAGTGTCTATCCATCTATCGTACCAAGAACCAGGGCCTTACCATCTGGACAAATTTTCAGTGCTGTCAATTCAGCTTGTACTAGGTAGTTTGCTACCATTTATGCATCTTCACTAAAGACTCTTCAGTTTAAAAACGATTAAAATAAATTATTTCACAAAATGTATTGCTTGCAGATAAGATTGTGGTTAGGGGTATTAAAAAGATCAGGCAAATTTTATTTTAAAAAAATTACCTGTGTAAGTAGAACTTGTAAAAATCCTCACTATTTTTAAACTAACCTGGCCTGCAAAAATAAGATCATGTTATATTTATCAAAAGCTTATCGCTGGTGTTTTGTAAATAAATTGGTTGTTTTTTTTGCTGCAGTCGGTTATCTACTGTAATTTAAAAGTGTCGTTAAGTTTAAAGTTTTGTACGTGAATTAAGTGTTTTTTATGTTAATTTGAGTCTTATAAATTTATAGGTGGCTTGAGTTACTTACTGTGCCTACTATATGGTTTAACAAGGATGCCAATGACCAAAGCAGTCGACGCACCTTAATAGACCTATCCCATAAAACAGACTTTTGGATAGCGCGTGCCTGAAGAAGAGTGGTATCTCTTTCTCTTTTATATAATTAAAAAAAGACGACGTGCCTTTTCACGCACGCGCTATCCAAAAGTCCGTTTTATGGGATAGGTCTATTAAAAAAAAAGGATGTTTTGTTTATCTATTGCAAGAAATACAGGCGTATTGTAAATTATTCTTTTCTTTAATTTCTATTAGAATAAAAACCTAAATTTATATTTTTTATTCGAAATATTAAAATTTAGTTAAATTTTAATTTTAAAAAGCAGTTTTATAATAAAGGACCAAACAAATAATGGATTATCCAAGTGCTATGCTCCACATCAAAAAGTCACACTTTGAAATTTAAATACCAAAAATTGAGGTTACCTATCATTTTTTTAAAATCACATTACAATTTTTTTGCCTACGTTTTTTCGCTCTTTTCAATGGTTAACAGGATTAAGTCCTGGCTTACTTTTTTCATATATTTATCAGAAATAAAAATAGTACCTTTATTTATTATTTTTAGGCAAATTTTATCGTTAAAAGGACTTTGGTCCTATTCCGCAGGCGTCTGAGTTTTTAGACAGTCTTAGACTCTTATAGAAACAATCCAATTTTTTTATAAAGTGTGATTGTAGTAGAAAAACTCAATATTCGTATAATTTTTTACAAGAAAATTATATAAAAACCAAATTTAAGAATATAAAAATTACTTAAGTAGGTACCTATGTAATATGATTACTGAATGAACATTTTCAGGCCAAGCAAAAATGTTTCAGGGTAAAAGTTTTTGTGTAATCTTCCAGAAAATCGTATATGCAAGTATATTTGCATTTTTATATTGCTCTGTTTGTCTGTTTAAAAAAATGAAATAAGAACACAGATATACGAAAAGACAAAAACAATTTTTAAATTGGTCAAAGTAAAGTGCTTTGGTATCCACGCAAAATTGAGTTGTGTGTAGGTTACCAAATTTAAAAACCAACCGTGCATAGGTCTAATAAATGGAAATAAATATTGTTTCAAAATCTAAAATCGAATATCTTTTTTTTTGTTAATTCTAAAACTTTTGATTTATGAACAAATATAAAACAAATTCAATTAAAACAAAAAATCCTTATAAATTAAGCAATTGCATGAATAATAAGTTTGGAAATTTGTCTGACATAATAATATTATATTACAATCATTGTTTATATTAACAACGTATTTTGTTTCAGAATACGATGTTTCCTCTCAAACCTTGATTAGTAAATCCAAATCATAAAAATATGCAGGCTCCAACGTCCATGACGGTGGTGGATCCGCACACCACCCAAATGAATCAGTTCAGGAGCTATGTAACCATGCTGGGGGACCCTAACTGCAAGGACGCCCTTAAGCTGAAAGCCACGCAAGAAATAAGCAAGAATTTTGAGGTAAGTTGCAAAGGTTTTTATTGGTTCTGATAACACAGTGCAACACGATTGCTCATGGAAATTTTAACAGATTTTAAAAATAAAGGTTAAAAAACGTACCCGTTTTAGGAAATCACGTCGTTTATTTTTTTTACACAGCCATTCTTATTATTTTACACGGTGGTCAAAACTAAAGTATAGGACTTACAAAAATGCCAACCAAAACTGATAGCATAATCTGATTATAGACTCTTTTGGTAACACAAAAATGCATTTATCAAAATCCCAGCTGATCCTTTATTAAAGTTTTGCATATTTCTTAGTATATTAAAATTGTTTATGCCATTTCGATAAAATACTCTGGTACCATTATCAAATGCTTTTAAAAATTGGGCAGATACATGACTGAAATATGGATAAATTACATTATAAATACAAAATAATGTAAAATACAGTTTGCAATATCTTATTTATTGTTTTAAGGTACCTAATACAAAACTAATAAATAACTAAAGATTCTTTGAAGCAAAATCGATTAAGTACTGCTTGCCTTAAATTTTCAGTAAAACTTTTTCTTGGGTTTTACATGGAATTGTTTTTAACATGGAAACAGTATTTTTAAATTCTTCAGTCTCTGTACAAACATGCTTCTTACATCTAGCGATATCCCCTAGAAAGGAAGAGCATATCAAAACTTTAGTTCGTTCGTCCGTCCTCTTCCCTTAATAATTTTTTATGCCCTTTATATCTTGCCATTTTGCAGATAAAGCTCATACAGTCTTGGCTGCCGCGAAATTCTCTAGCAATTTCTAAATTTTAAAATTTTTTCAATTTTGGCTATGCAAAAATACCGTTTTTACCATATTGAAGTAGGTAATTTTGAATCACTTAAGTTAAAGTGTTCGTTTGAAAAAGTCTGCAGTAATTTTTATATTTTCTCAGAAACCCTAAACTCTGAATTTTTCGATTACCAAAAACAATTTTGTCCCCACAGCCAGCACATACCTTCTTTCGATTTTCTTCATGGCTTAACTTGAATCAAAATATGCTATCAGTTTTGGTTGGCATTTTTGTTCGTCCTATACTTAAGTTTTGACCACCGTGTTTAACCTAAACAGATTTTTAATTCTCTATTTTGTTACAAATCATTTTTTTTCAAATATTTTATGTTTTTACATAATACAAAAATTATACTTAAAGAAAATAACAATTTTATTTTTTTAAGTATTAAAAAAAATATAATAAGTTTTAATTTTTGTTTTTTTTTAATAAAACAACAGATTTGTATTTATCTTATATTAAATATATGTTGGAAACAAATCTTGATCTTTTAGTTTAACGTTATACATTGCTATCGAATCTATTGTGGTATCACACCCTAAAAACACCACTTGATATACAGGGTGTTTCACATTCGTGGTCCATTGCAAGTTTCTGGAGAACGGAAAAAATATAGATTTGAAATTTAAAAGCGTTTATAATCCAGTCTATTTTTTACAAATATTTTAAACAAAAAGCAACTTCCGGTTTGACCGGAAGTGACATCAACTCTGTTATTTCAAATGGAACACCCCATATACATTTAAAACATTTTTAAATTCTACGTAAAATTCTGAGTAAAATTACTATACCATGTCCCATAACTAAAGTGAATAGATTTCTAGATGTTTGCTATTAGGTTTACGGATATGGGGGTAAAATGTTTGTAATCTTTAAACATTGTTAAAAAAATCCATATCAATTCTTTAACATTTTTCAACAAATTACCCAAGAAACCCCAGGGCAAATTGGGCTTACTTGAAACGTTAATAACTTTTTTATTTTAAATGTAACACCCGGTATGTTAAGAAATTGACATGGAATTTTTTAAACAATGTTTTAAGATTCCAAAAATTCCACCCACATTTCTGCAAACCTAATAGCAAGAAAGTTATAGGCTTTTTTGATTGACGCGCATTTGTCATATTTTAACGGAAAAATTAATAACTAAAAAAACTATTTACTCTAGGTATAGGACATGGTAGAGTAATTTTACTCAAAATTTTATGTAGAATTTAAAAATGTAAAAATATATGGGGGGTTTAAAATAACAAAATTGCTGTCACTTCCGATCAAGCCGGAAGTGGCATTTTGTTTAATTTATTTTAGAAAAATAGGCTTAATTGGATTATAAACGCTTTAAAAATTTCAAATCGATATCTTTTGCCTTTCCTCAGAAACTCTCAATGGACCACGAACGTGAATGTGCAACACTCTGTATATAATTAAAATAATTTTAAAATAAATAAATGATTGTCCATTTATTCAGTGAATATATTTTTCACAAAAATATACTGTCTAGCTGTTATCGAATCTGATATATTATGTGCCGAATATATTCGGTATACCGTGGATAACATTTCATGGATCGCACTTAAAAAAAATGACGTGATCTGAAAAAACGCCGAGACACGGCATTTTTAAGTCTATTTTCAAAATCTATAGAAATTTTTCATGAGAGGGAAAAAAATAAAATTTTGTCATGCTGCTTAATAGGCCAGAAATGAATCTTTTTGTGATGAACTCAAAGTTAGAGCTATTTGTGTCTTGGGGTATCTTTGGTTGTCCTTATTTTTATTTATTTTTTGCAGATTATTTTAAAATCACCTCTATATCCCAGCTTTTTGGAACATTCTGTGAAAGTGTTTTTAAAAATACTAGAAGATGGCGATCCTCATTTTATAGCAGAATATAATATACAACAGGTATTTTTTTCCAAATAAATAAAAAATATTTCAACTTTCTTTAAATATTTTTAGGTTCGAAAGTTGATTTTGGAAATGCTTTATCGTTTACCCACAAATGAACAGCTTAGAGATTATGTTAGACAAATTTTGTTATTAATGTTGAAACTTCTTGAAGTTGATAATGAAGAAAACGTTTTAGTTTGTTTGAAAATTATCATAGAGTTACACAAACAATACAGACCAGTGTTTAGTGTAGAGGTAAGTGGAAAAAATCTAAATAAACTACAAAAAATGTAATTTATTCATTTGCATGCAAACTTACTAATATTTTTTTTTTTAGATACAAAGATTTCTTAGGTTTGTCAAAACCATTTACTCGGAACTGCCGAATCATATGAATAAAATATTTGAGCCCAGGGCTCCTATAAAAGTTAAGGATTTGAGCGAGTTAAATATAGAAGAACTTCTCAAGGAAACTTTTACAATGACCACCATACAAACGGAAAAAAGAAACAAGGACGGAAATTTAATAGCTGTAAGTTTTTTCAAAAATATTAGTAGACATTTTTTTATCCAAATATTTTGCGATAATAATAGTTTATTTAGTTTTTTTAAATTAAAATAATGCCTAAATCCTACTAATAATAATGTTAAAAATTAAATATTTTAAATGCTGGTAAAACTTTTAATAGGAATACTTCCCAACAGTCCTGTAATTTTTTACAATATTTTAAAAATTTTTTCCATTTGTTTTTTATTATAAGTTCTATCGCTCAATTTATATCCTTTTATACTGGGTGTCCCGAAAATGGCGTATAAAAAATCACAAACTTTTTAGCTTATTAAGAATTTAAGTTAATTTAAAAAAATCTGCAACGCATCTAAAAAAAGTTATGTCAAACTGACATTATGGAAATTTCGCTCCAAATAGTCGGGTTTTTTGATAGAGGCGCAGTCGCAAAATGGCCAAAAGTCAATTTTTAATTAATTTTTAATAGAATTTATTAAAACCCAGAGACAGTTACCTTGTCTGTAGCTAGCGTTTTAAAACTTTGAAAAAATGGAGTAAAAACGTTTTTTTTTTTTGAAAAAATTGGTTTTTTTTCGTTGTCAGTTGTCAAACGTCATTATTAAAATAATAATGGGGAAATTATTTTATTATCTTGATACAAAAATAAAAAGTATAAAATAGGTTCTCAACGCCACTACATATGTGAAAAGTTTATACGCAAGTTTTATACTGACCTTTTGATTTTGCCGGCAGTAAACTAGATTTACCTGAAAGCATTACAAATTTCGGAGGTGACACAGTGAAGTGCCCATAAAACATTCTCTTCACTTTCACTAGTGATGATATAGAAGCAGTTTTTCACAGCTGTAAAAACTGCTTTTATATTATCATATAAACGGTTGTCAGTCCACTTTCAAGGGATACATTTCGATTTACACATGCAAATTTGTCATTTTGACTGAGGCGCAGGTAAAATATTTAATTTAAATAATTTTTTGATAATAATGAGTATTTATTTGTTGTAGAAAATGTATAGTATGCAACTCATTTATAAACTTTTCTATATACTCAGTTAACTGTCTCCAAAAACGTGGTTTTTACAGAATACTCTAAAAAAATTGACAATTGTCACTGTATTTTAAAAACCACTTCATGGATTTAGATGAAATTTATACAGCGTATTCTATACAGGCTAAAAAAAATTTCTCAATATGTTTATTTTGCTATGCTTTATTTTACCAGTATAATTTAATTTAAGAATAAATTTTGAAAAAAATAATTGTAAAAGTAAGTTTTGAGAGATAACTTTTTTGCTTAACAAGAGTATTATTTTATAGGCAAACTAACACACGTATAATGAAATTAGAAAATTTAAAAAGAAAAGATATGATAATATGCCTTTACAATCATAGGATACATACTTGAAAAGGAATAGGAAACACATTTAACTTTTAATTTAAATTCGACATTTAACGGAAATTCGAAAAAAATGTAAATCCCTAACAGGGCAGTAAACCCTTTAAAAAATTGTAAAACTACACTCACAGGCAAAATAATCGATCCACACAAATTTTCGATGAATTTCAATCGCAAATAACTTTTATTTGATTTCGGATTTAAACAAATATTAAAGAATATTGTAGATACATTAATGAAGAATCGCTCACATTTTAAAAATTACTAAAAAATTTACGTACGTTTATAATATACAGGTTTAAACAAAAAGATGTTTTTTACCATAAGTTTAAGACACTCTGTAGAGTGGCAAAACCGTATATTAGTCTAAATTAAGTTCACATCTATTTTAACAGTTTTGTTTTTGGTTCGCCTTGATATATTTATTTTTGTGGAAAATATGGATTTTTAAAAAAAAACAATTTCCAATATTTTTCCTGTATGAAGAACTAAGTTTGCTATGGTCCATCCATATCCTATGGAGGATGACAGTGACAGTTTTGTTGAACATCCCATACTGGACATGTCATATACAGCTTTCAAAAGCTATCAAATTGTTTTTTGTAAATCAATGTGTTAATTTTGAGGTGTCTTCTTACTTTTAAAAATGTCTCCGACTGATGTTGCCCTTTGTACTTTACTTCTTGTGACGTTTAAAACACTTGCCACGTAATACTGTGACCGTCCATCCTGGATTAAATTAATGGCTCTGGCAACATCAGTCGGAGACATATCCATTTTTTAAAGTAAGAAGACACCTCAAAATTTAAACATTCGTTTGCAAAAAACAATTTGATAGCTTTTGAAAGCCGTGTATGACATGTCCAAGTATGGGATGATTCAACAAAACTGTCACTGTCATTCTCCATAGCCTATGGATGGACAACCTTAGTTCTTCATACAGAAAAACATTGGAAATTGCAATGTTTTTTTAAAAAATCCATATTTTCCACAAAAACAAATATATCGAGGTGAACCAAAAACAAAACTGTTAAGAATAGATGTGACTTGATAAATAAAACTTAATTTAGAACAATATACGGTTTTGCCACTCTACAGAGTGTCTCAAACTTATGGTAAAAAATATCTTTTTGTTTAAACCTGTCATTATAAACGTGCGTCTTTTTTTAGTAATTTTTTAAAATGTGAGCGATTGTCCATTAATTTATCTACAATATTCTTTAATATTCGTTTAAATCCGACATCAAATAAAAAAGTTATTTGCGATTTAAATTCATAGAAAATTTGTGTGGATCGATTATTTTGCTTGTGAGTGTATATCAAAAAAATTGAAAATTATAATGTTTTGATACATTAATGTACCATTTTTCAGTATTACCTCATTCCCAAAGCAGTCCTCAGCCTGAAAGTCCTACAAGAACTCCCAATCATCGTCGTTCTAATGTACCAACTGTACAAGCAAAGCGTCCACCAAGACGTCAGCGACTTTATCCCGTTGATCATGAACACAATCACATTGCAACCCACGCCGGAGCAAAGACTCGCCGACTCTTTCAACAAGGAAATTTTCGTGGATTTCATGGGCGCCCAGATCAAAACCCTCTCCTTTCTGGCCTACATCATCAAGTTGTACCAGGAGGTTGTGCAGAACCATTCGGCGATGATGGTGCAAGGCATGCTGGGCTTGTTGACCCTCTGTCCCATGGAGGTTGCCCATCTAAGAAGGGAGTTACTTATTGCCGCTCGGCATATATTGGCTACTGATTTGAGGAACCGTAAGTTTGAAGTTTTTATTTACGTTATACAAAAATTAGGAAAAACCCCTTCACCATTTTGTACTTTTGTACATTTTTGCAGTTGTATTTTAGTGTATTATAGGTTTCTTTCATCAAGCATCGAACTATACGCATGCGCAATAAAAACAACCAGTTGAGTGCGTCCAAAGAGAATTGTAGAGCAATATTCCAAGTGGGGGGCTATTAGTGTTTTGTATAATGTTATTTTAATATTTAAACTTAATTCTCTTCCAATTCTTCTTAAAAAATATATTTTTGTATTAATCTTGTTTTGTACATACTTAAAATGGCTTAAAAAATTTAACTGTTTGTTAATTATAACTCCCAACTATTTAATTTCTGCAATATATCTCATTTTATTCCTTAAACTATTATCATAAAGCCAGGTATAAATTCTCTGAAGATCACAGTTCATTTATTTTCTCATTACCAATTATATACAGTATCGTCGGAAAATATAACTATTTTACATTTTAATATTACTTTTGCAATATCATTAATGTATAAAATAAATAATATGGCAGCTAATTTAGTTCCTTGAGGAAACCCATGTTCATTTTCAATTTCTTCAGAGAATTTTTTTTTAAACTCCGTTAAAACCAATTTTACTTAATTTTCTTAATGGTATTTTATATAAATAGTTTCAAATGCCCTTTTAAAATCAAGAAAAACAGCCAATATAAATCACATATATTTATCACAGTAGTTTCACATGAGTGCTATACATGAGTTCTTCTTTCTATATGGAAGAAGTTATAATTTAATAAAACAGAATCCAGCAAAAAAGTAAAGTTGGATTGTGAAACTTTGGGAATCAAAGTTTACTGAACTATGAAATGATAATAAAATCAAAGTTACTGATTCAAATGGAAAACAGGGAATATTAAAAAAACTCTGCTGAATATCCCAAAAAGACAAGGCAAAAAAACTAAGTTCAGATGAAATATATAGAGTAAAATCATTGTTGGGATATATTTTATACCATAAATTAAGATGTTTTACCCTATATATTTGAACTAGTAATTATTATTGTAAGAATAAATACATCTTAATAATTATTGTGCAATAATGTTTATATTTTAAATTGTTTTTTTTACTCCCACCTTTAAAACGCCCCCTTGTATACTAACTTTTTCAACGAAAAATACTTAATATCGCTCATCCGGAAGAAAACGGTCACAACTCAAAAAAGTTAAATTTTCAGGAGAAGCAATTTAAAGTTGCAAATAATTTAATTTATCGAACTGTTGATGTTTATGGATTTTTTTGTAAAAAAGTAATATTTATTTTAAAACATGGCTTTTTTAAAAGTACTTTGTTTTAATCTGAATTACTTTAAATTTTTTGTTTGTTAATGAGAAAAACAAATCCTTTCAATGACAGAGATGTGTCACTTTTCTACTAAATTTGATGCAAATTTTGTTTCCAAATTCATTAAATAAATCCCTCAAACATTGTATTAAACATTTTATTTATTGAAAATATAAACAGTTTAAAAAAAGAACGTACCTAAACATTGAGTTATCAAAACGGAATATAATAATTTACCTACTATAATTCGGTAGATTGCTAGAAAGGAACATTGTAACAAAAAAGGACACAAATAAAAATATGACCGTTATCAATTGAAAGTAAAACAAAAATCACTGTTATAACCCGAGATGTGACGTTTTTCCCGAAATAAATCGTTTGTCTCGCTTTGACGTATGAATAAAGACTGAAAAGTGTCGCTTTAGTTCTGTGAAGTTATGCATTTGCGCGCTAGGGATGAAGTGACACAAGTTCCATCTCTCGGGTAATACTAAAAGTTTAGATGAGACATTTTTCTACAACATAGAATATGATGTTTGGAATTAATTTCAATTAAAAACTCAATTTTTGGATTTTCTGAGTTGTGACGGTTTTCTTCCGGATGAGCGATATTATCTAAAAAATTATTTAAATTAAATATTTGTATAAAGCGACATCTATACGAAAAGAAAATAAAGTAACCTTCCCATTTAACGAGAAACTATTTAATACTTTTGTATTTTTGTGTTGAGATAATAAAATAATTTTCACATTTAGTATTATTTTGCAAGAAAGGCACTTTATTTTAAAAATTGTATGACATTTGACAACTGTCAACTAACTTAAAACTAACTTTAGCCCGTGACTAAAAACATGTTGCTAACTTCAGCCCGTGACTAAAGCGCCATAAAGCCAGAACTTGTCAATGTGTATTTAAAAGGTCACTTGGTGTCATGAAAACATGTACGATAAAGGGCGTTTTAAAGGTGGGAGTAGAAAATAGTATATTATGTATCAAGTTTTATAAACGTCATTTTAGTTACGAGTTTTATTAGGCACGAGCGAAGCTTGCGAGCGAGTGTTTAATAAAAACGAGTGTCTGGAGAAGTTTATAAAACGAGTTGCATACTATACTTTATCTACGACGAACAGAAATAAGAATTTAAAGACAATTTTATTGCATAAAATTTGACATTTAACAAATTTAACCTCACTTTTTCGCAATTTATAATAAAGCTAACTTCAGCCCGTGACTAAAATACCCAAAAGCCACTGTTATTAACTTTAACCCGTGACTAAAATGCCATAAAGTCACAACTCGTCAATGTAGGAGTAGATAAAATCATTTACCGCGTTTCAACCGATCATAAAATTCGATAACTATCACTGTCAATAACCTCAATTTCTACTAGTCAAATTTTACACAACCTCCTTGATATGGGTTGGGTGAAATGAAAGAGTTCAAAATATACAAAATTTTCGAATTTAAAAAAAATCTCGAAACCACAAACACTTCTTAGCGAAATGTCATAAACAAAGCTTTTAATAATTGTTAGTTTCATTTATCGTTTAATCGAGAGGTTAATAAATAAAATTGTGCCTTGAAAATACAATGTTTATGACATTTCGCTAAGAAGTGTTTGTGGTTTCGAGATTTTTTATAAATTCGAAAATTTTGTATATTTTGAACTCTTTCATTTCACCCAACCCATATCAAGGAGGTTGTGTAAAATTTGACATTCAATCTTACGGTGGCCGCCATATTGGATTGATATATTTTTATCTCTTTCTTACTTATGCACAGCCATTATTATGTGTACACATACCTGTTCTATTGCGCATGCTGATAGTCCAAAAAAACGAAAACTGTTGATAAAACAAACCTTATTATTACTAATAATCTCGCTAAACAAATGCAATTTGCAGAGTTCGTTCCGCATATGGAACGCCTTTTCGACGAAGACATACTGCTGGGGCGCGGGTGGACCACGCACGAGTCACTTCGCCCCCTGGCTTACTCAACCCTTGCCGATCTGGTGCACCACGTTAGGCAGCAGTTGCCCCTTTCGGATCTCACCAGGGCGGTGCACCTTTTCAGTAAAAACGTGCACGACGACAGTCTTGCTACAACGTAAGTAAATTGGAAATAGGTCTCTTTTAAATTGTAATATTCGGAATATTTTCTTTTATATCAAGGTTTAAGCAATTAAAATATAAAATAAGTTCTATAAATGCAACCTTCCAAACTATGGCGTAAGTCCAACAATATGTTAAATTATAGTATATTATGTATCAAGTTTTATAAACGCCATTTTAGTTACGAGTTTAATTAAGCACGAGCGAAGCTTGCGAGCGAGTGTTTAATAAAAACGAGTGTCTAGAGAAGTTTATAAACGAGTTGCATACTATACTTTATCTACGACGAACACAAAACAGAATTTAAAGCTAATTTTATTTGTTAAAATTTTGACATCTGTCAACTGTCACCTGAATTTAACCTCACTTTTTCCCAATTTATAATAAAGCTAACTTCAGCCCGTGACGTAAAATGTCGAAAAGCCACTGTTGTTAACTTCAGCCCGTCAATAAAACGCCATAAAGTTACAGCTCGTCAATGTAGGAGTAGATAATTAGTATATTATGTATCAAGTTTTGTAAACGTCATTTTAGTTACGAGTTTAATTAAGAACGAGCGAAGCTTGCGAGCGAGTTTTTAATAAAAACCAGTGTCTAAAGAAGTTTATAAAACGAGTTGCATACTATACTTTATCTACGACGAACATAAATAAGATTTTAAAGCCAATTTTATTTGTTAAACATTTGACATCCGTCAACTGTCAACGGATTTAACCTCACTTTTTCCCAATTAATATTAAAGCTAACTTCAGCCCGTGACTAAAATGACCAAAAGCCACTGTTGCTAACTTCAGCCCGTGACTAAAACGCCATAAAGTCACAGCTTATCAATGGTGGAGTAGATAAAATATTTTTTGTTGAAATCCAATACCAAACTTTCATGTTGCGTGTGTACCTTTCAGCCAATCAAAACATTATTGTGGTGGGAATTTTCTGCTTACATTATTACCATACAAGAGATTAATAAATTGAAAATAATTCTCCAGATATTTTCTAAAACCTGTTGCGTTTATAATAATAATAATTATAATCTTTATTTATGTTATATACAAATACTATTTACACAAGTCAAAAGCATGTTAAAAATATAATTAATAATTTACAAAATAGATTGGCAAACTTAATAAAATTAGTATATAACTAAAATATAAATCGATAAAAAAATTCATTGAATGAATAAAAGGAATTTTGAATTAAAATTTCCTTAATTTTATTTTTAAAATTTTTGGCCGGATGATTTCTTAAATTAAGTGGAAGATTGTTAAAAACCTTAATTCCTAAGAAGTTTCACTCTCTTGTGATATTATTATTGAAAATAAGCTAAAGTATCGCCAAAATTACAACATGTCAAATAATAACAAGCTAAAAAAATTGCAATCGACAATTTCACAAAAAACTAAAATGATCAGTCATTTTACTACAATATAAAATGCTAAAATGACTACATAATCAAAATAATACAAATAATAACAATCTAAAACGACGAAAAACTAAAATGACTGCAATGTAAAAAATCTAAAAAAATAAAATGATAACACGCTAAAATGACGAAAAGCTAAAATGACTACCTTTAAAAATGATAACAATTTAGGAGGGTAACAAGCTAAAATGAGTTAGGGTGATGAAACTTAAAATAACCGTAAGTTAAAAGAATGAAATGCTAAACATACAACGAGCTGAAACGAAAATAATATAAAAATAATATTTTATCTCAATTTAAGCATGAAATAGCAATAAAATAAATTTACAAGCAAAAATGGCAAATTAAAATGATTAAAATAATCACATTGAGTTCATTATTCCCGTTGTTAGGCAGGGAATTTATAATGTTAACTATATATAGACACAAATCATCCGAGTGAATAATGCGCATAATCTCGAGTGTAATACTATACTTTATCTACTCCAGTTAGTAAATATTTAAATGATTTTTAAAAATAAATAAATAAAATTCGACCAATTTAAAATATTATAGTCGCATTCTCCAAATTTAAAACCCGATTGGTTCAAATCACAGTGAATATTAAAATTGGCCAATCACTGATGCCCAACAACGTGAATAATGAGTTTATTATTCACGTTGTTAGGCGTTAGGCGGTTATAACGGATTTTATTATATACGGAAAAAATAATATTATGCAAAGATAAAGATTATTATTATTATAAGCTATAACATGTTAAATTTACAAAGAGTTGACACGATGACCAATTAAACGGCGAGAGGCTAAAAGAATTACAGAAAAATATGATAACAAGTTAGAATTGCAAAAACAAGCTAAAATGATAACAAGTTAAAACGAATAAATAATCAAATGCTAAAATGAATAAAAAAATAAAATAAAATTTTTATATTAACAATCTAAAACGACGGAAAACTAAAATAACTACATTATAAAATGGAAACATGCTAAAAGAACTAAAAAAATGAAATGATAACAAGCCAAAATAACGCCAGAATTAAATTACAATATAAAAGGACCATTGGCAAAAATATAAAGTTTTTTATTTTTCTTTACATGTGGTCTAAAAATACTCTGAATCAAACAATTTACAATATAAGGAGCTTCCTAAACATCTAAGGTTTTTCAGAGGCATTTTTAAAGTAAAAAAATATATATATCAAAATTGGGTTTTACTACTTTTTTTGAGATACCTACTTCCTATGTATGTATTGATATAATTCTTTTAAACGTAAAAGGTTAAGAACCACCAACATGAACAATTTTTCGTACCTAGTATTAAATTGATATTGATGAGATATTATTTAAAATATATTTTTTTATTTTTTTTCTAGGATTCAAACGATGTCGTGCAAGTTGCTGTTGAATCTTGTGGACTGCATAAGAATAAGTTCGGAAAACAGTAGCGAAGGCCGAGAATTGTTGATGCGAATGCTGGAAGTTTTTGTGTTAAAATTTAAAACCATTGCCAAAATTCAGTTGCCTATTCTTGTTAGTAAATGGTAAGTTTACCTTATTTCATATATGTACATGGTTCAGAAGTATACATAATATACTATTTTTTAGTTAAATTAGTACGGATAGTTAAAGTGTAGATCTTAATAAACTGTATTTTTGGAGCAAAAACGCCATATTTTTACAAAATACAAGGCCTGCCATGACAGTTTTTGCGATTAATGGATTCACCGCCTCTTAAAACGATCGTATACTAAATTTTATTGAAAATTTTTAAGTAGGAACGATTTTGTAGGCTAATTAAAAATGAACAATAATAACTATTTACAAAAATTATTCTGTCAAGTTATCCATGAAAAAACATTGAAATTAAATTAAACAGTAACATGGTATAAATATTCCTATGCTTAGTTTAAAAAAATAAAGAACGCAATAGAAACAAAAAATAGAGAATTCAAAATGTAGTCGGTTATTTACAATTATAAATTTTTAAATGCCATTTCACTTTTGTTTTATTTGACAGCGAGCAACGTCAACAACAAATCCGGCAGAATATTCAACAAGCGCAACAACAACAGCAACAAGCTGCGGCTTCGGGCGAAGCTGCGGGCGGCACTCAACCGATCAAAACGGACCAACCGGAAACGAAACCGAATCCGGCCGAGATACTGGAGGTGGCGCTGGCAACCACGCAAGGTCACCCCGGAGGCGCGCCGCAAAAAGAGGAGAAATCCAAGTTCGGTTTCCCGCAAAACAACAATTACAACGTAGCCGATTACAGGAGTCTCGTAAAGACGCTGGTGTGCGGCGTCAAGACGATAGCGTGGAATTGTCCCTCCTGCAAGGTAAAGGTAATGTGTATTCGATGTTTTTATTTATTTATTATACAAGGTGTCCCTAAACTTATTGGCATAAATTTAAGAAAAGATTGAGCAAGTCAAAATAAGACAAAAACCTAAATAAATATTTTTCCTAATTACTTATGTTTCCAAGATACAGGGTGATAAAGTGTTACCTATCATATCAGTTTTTTTAATATAACTTCTACTATGGTAATCTTGGAAACGTGATATTTTGCGAACAGTCACTTTCTACCAAAACTCATAGTACACATAATTAATAATTGTTTGAGTGAAAACAGTGTCGTAGAAACGGGGGTTGCTTTAAGCTTATTGTCCCATACAAACTTTGAGGTTAGGTTTTTTTACCATTTGATGCAATTTTTTGATTACTCAGTTCGGCTACTATTAAAAAGGAGTACTTCTTAAACTTCGATAAAATAAACCGTTTCCGAGATATTCGAGATTACAATAATTGTTATATCGCATTATTTAAAAGGATTAAAAGGTATATTGATTGATGTACGTAAACCTAAAGAACCCATTGTGGGTTATAACAGGTACATTTTGTTTGTTTGTATATAAATATATAAATAAATGTAATGTGTAAAACAATGTGTATATATAACTGTATAAATAGATAGAATATAAATATAAATATGTAAATAAATGTCTCGTTTATATCACAGATCTTTCCTAGTACTAATTATATGCTGGACTATCATTTTTTTTTGATTTTTTTGAATTGGCTGTCAGTCATGATAACAAATTTTATTTTTTAATTGAAAAAACTAAAAACGGTATTCCATGAGCCTCGAGACTTTTTGCCTTGACCGTCACATTAAAAAAAATTGTAGTTTTTTCAATTAAAAAATTTGTTATCATATACCTTTTAGTCCTTTAATGCAATATAACAATTATTGTAATCTCGGATATCTCGGAAACGGTTTATTTTATCGAAGTTTGAGAGGTACACCATTTTAATAGTAGCCGAACTGAGTAATCGAAAAATTGCATAAAATGGTATAAAAACCTAACCTCAAAGTTTGTATGGGACAATAAGCTTAAGCAACCCCAGTTTCTACGACACTGCGTTTACTCGAACAATTGTAATTATGTGTGAATATGTGTTTTGGTAGTAAGTGACTGTTCGCAAAATATCACCTTTCCAAGTCTACCATAGTGGAATTTATATTAAAAAAACTGATAGGATAAGTAACACTTTATCACCCTGTATCTTTTAAACATACCTAATTAGGACAAATATTTATTTAGATTTTCGTCTTATTTTGTCTTGCTTAATCTGCTCCTAAATTTATGCCACTAAGTTTAGGGACACCTTGTATAGTTTCTGTTATGTGGAATAAGAAAATCGCCGACTGTCACACTTTTCAGCTGTAATCTGACGCTCAGACAAAGTTGAGGGCAACGAAAAACTTTTAACTGAAAGTTTGGAACGCAAGTTTTTTCTTATATCCTGTTAGTTTTTTGTGAAGAAAGCCTTAATTTCGTGATGCTTGTAGGGTTATAAATTTCCGGAAAATTGAGTCGGCGAAAAAAAAAACGGTTTTTGTTTTGGAAAAAAATAATTTTCAGAAAAATTTACTTAAAAATTTTTCTCATTTTATTTAAAGGGTAATACAAAAAAATGCAAAAGTAAATTTTTTAGTAAATTTAAAAAATTTTAAGGATAATATTCCTACACTGCACAGTGGTCTGAGAGGAAAATTTACGCGGCAAAAATCCAATTTTTAAAACACTTTATTTAGATTTTAAACTGCGAAGTAGAATTTTCTGCGTATGCGTTGCGTTATAACAAATTCATAAAAAGATATACTCTTACTTTCGGAATCTTGTCTTTTTCGTGTAAAAAAGGTGTTGCGTAAATATAGTAGTGAAAATTAGTGTTAAAAATTTATAGTAGGGATAAAGTTGAGTACAAATACAACTTTACAATGTATTTTTTGGATTTTTTGCCAAAAATATAGCGTTTTTTAACCTAAAAATTCTCAAGTTTTGTAATTACAAATAATATGGAATATAAGTAAAAATTTATAATTACTTGCCCAGAACCACATAGTGCATTCGAAAATATGAACCTCCAGCTCCTACTTTATAAAAAATCATCTGCCTTTATGCGCCTATAAGAGAGATGCAAAAATGAAAAATGGCCGCTAACCTGGTCATAAAAGTAATATATTTTTTAAATTTGACAATAACTATTGCATTTAAGAATGGTAATACAATTTTCTTTACTCCTATTACATAATATTATTTTTTTAATATACTTTGTAGGTATATTATACAGTGCCCACGGATGGTAATGACAATAGAAAAAAACTTTCTTATTAGGTATGATACGAAAAAAAACATGTTATTTAAAAACTCTTGCTTGTTTCAAAAATAAGATTCCTACACAAACATTTTAAATTAAATGTACAGGGTGCTCAGAAACTAAAAAAAAACAAAAAACTAGTGCGTTTTGTGGAAAAATGAATTCTTTTTGAAAATATTTGATGGTTAAAAATTAAGATGAATTATATATACAGGGTGCTCAGAAATTTAAAAAATATATATATCAAAATAAGAGAGACATGTGGTAAGATATTCGTAACGGAATCGCAAAAAATCATTCTTCATAAAAACTTCTGCTTGTATTTAAAAATGAGATTCCTAACAAACATTTTTAATTAAATGTCCAGGGTGCTCAGAAAATAAAAAAAAAACAGCAAGGTGCTTTAAGAGGGTAGTACAATATTTATTGTTCTATAGTCCAGTCATCTAGGCATTTCACCTCGGAATCTAACGGAATAAGCTGAATTTTTGTACAAACCTTTATTTTAGCATTGCAAATGTTGTCTCAAAAGTCACATATGCCAACGTGTGAGCGGCCTTAGATATTCAAGGTCAAAGGTCGAAAAATCAATTTTTTGAGAATATCTCCTTTTCTCTGCCTCCTATCATATTTGCATTTATTATACAAGTTGTAGAGAATAAAATTATCTACAAATTTTGTTTACAAAATTTTTTTATACGTCTAATAGTTTTTGAGATAGAGGGCGCAGAGTGTGGAGCGCTCAGCCATACGTACCTTTAGCACAAGGTAAATCATGAATCCCAATCTATTATACCGTTTTTTTTAATTAATTATTTATTAAATATTACTTAAATAGCAATTTTTTACCATATTTATTTTTATATATTTTTTTAAACAAATAGTCATTAAATATTACTTACTTTTGACATACAAATAATTAAATAATGAAGTGAATCATTCTAAATATATTCTAATATTATTCTAATGAATGATAAATGCATTTTAAAAAGAAAAGACATTAAATGAATTTGCCTTGAATATGTCTCTGGTCATCTCTTGGATCCAGATATTGCTTTTAAAATAACAGACCTGGAAATACTATAGTGGGCTTGCTATAAATAAAAGGGTTAGGTATACCTATATTTAAAGCAAGGTGTGACCCTAGGTATACCTAGGTCTAGGGTTGTGACAGGTAATATTCGTAATACTTTAAAGGTTAACATGGCTGATTTGTGTTTTATTTGTAATAAGTTACTTTCTGAAGGTGATTCTGTGACTTTTGTGCGCGGTATAAAGACTTTAAAAGAAGCAATTATTGAGAGAAATAAACATAAACTACCTAAATACTTTGACTTCTGTGAACGTTCATATTGAGTGTCGAAAATTGTACGCTATAGCGTACTATAGTAAAATTGCAGCAGCAAAACGTCGCGACGCGTCGCATGAAGAGACTGGACCTTCAACGTCATCAACTGTACCTCGTAAAAAAGGGAATGATGTGTTTGATTTTAAAATATTGTGCTTATTTTGTGGTGAAGTCGCAGATGAGGCAACAAAGGCAAAAAAATCAGCAAAGTACAAACGCGTTATAAGTAAGTTTTTGAAGATATGACAATTAATGTCAATGATAACGAGGAGAGTGATGATGATAATGAGTCTGAAATTGCTGGCCAACCTGAAGAAGACGAGGATGAAGAAGATAAAGATAAATAATAATAATAATAATAATAATAATATTGATATAAATAAAAACATTTTTTCCTACTCAGATCCAATTATCCTTCATTAAAATTAAATTAAAATATAAGATAAAATATATTTGATTTAAAAGAAATATAAATATAAGTATAAGGTATTAAATTTTTATTTTAGTAATATTTATTATATAATTAATTAAAAAAACGGTATAATAGATTGGGATTCCCGATTTACCTTGCGCTAAAGTACGTATGGCTGAGCGCTCCACACTCTGCGCCCTCTATCTCAAAAACGGTTCGACGTATAAAATTTTTTTTTAAACAAAATTTGTAGAGAATTTTATTCTCTACAACTTTTATAATAAATGCAAATACGATAGGAGGGAGACAATCCGAGATATTATCAAAAAACTGATTTTTGCGACCTTTGACCTTGAATATCTAAGGTCGCTCACACGTTGGCATATGTGACTTTTGAGACACTATTTGTAATGCTAAAATAAAGGTTTTCACAAAAATTCAGCTTATTCCGTTAGATTCCGAGGTTGATCCCTTTTTTTGACTAAGATGACTATAGGAATCTCATTTTTAAAACAAGCAAGAGTATTTAACGCATAATAAAAATAACAAGTTTCCTATTGTCAACCATCACGATATTGGCTAAAGGGTTGTTAAAAAGAAATATGGTGAAATGTAAAATGTTGATATAATAATAAATTTTTGATACTTTGAAGGTAATGGTTTTTCGGTTATTCATGATAAAAAATTATGCTTGCGCCATGTTGCATGTCGCACCCTGGTACGAACTATAAACATTTATTTATTTAATAAATAAATTATTAAATATAAAACATAAAAAAAAAACAAAAAGTACACAAATATTTAAAAAAATCATTTTATATCATTTGGCTAGACTTAGCCCTCTCAATACCAAATATTTTTGAAAAAAAATTATATAAGAAGTAAATTTAGCACCCTTAAAAACATAAAAAACACACGTCTTGGGAAAATATTTAAAGAATAATTTTTGCCGCATAAATTTACCTCTCAGACCACTGTGCACTGATTATGGTTTAAAAGTGTCGAAAAAAAAAACGAAAAAAACTGTTTTTTCTGTTTTTTCCCCAGGCCTTGAAAAAAATTGATTTTTTATTAGAAAATATAAACATTTTAAAAATAGTAGCAAACCACATCTTAAAATTATTTTAATTTAAAAAAAATATCATTTATTACAGAAAAACCCCTAAATTGAATTAATTTGATTTAAAAAAATAAAAGTAAACGTTGGGTCTTTTTAGCAAAAATAAGTTCATTGAAAATATCCAATTAAAAAATAATAAATTAAATTACAAAATTATAATTTTACAAGCTTAAGTGTTAAATAAAACAAAAGTTATGTTAGTACATCACGGAATATGTTCTTTTTGGAATGGAATCTTACTGAATTAAAATAAATGGAATAATTATTATATTCATCATATTATATGATTATAATTAGCGTTGGATCAGTGTACGGATTTTATCCGTAAAAATTTGTAAATTTACAGAAAAAATGACTTTTAAATAAAATGCAAAAGAAAATTTTTTCGAAAATTTCCCAATTTTTCCGTAAAAACGGTTTTTTTTCCGGAAATTTTAAAACCCTAACAATGATATCAAGAAAAAAGTAAATTTCTGACGCTGATTAAAATCATATATTATGATTATAATAAATATTCCCTTTATTTTAATTCAGTAAGAATATTCTACAGGGCCGCAAAAAACATATTTGGTGTATTAACATAACTATTGTTTTATTTGACACATTGATTAATTAAATTATAATTTTGTTATTTAACTATATAAATTATTTATTATTTTGTAATTGGCCATTTTCAATGGAATTCCTTTTGCATAAAGAACCCAACCGACGTTTACCCGAACGACGTTTACGTTTATTTTCTTAAATCAATTAAAATCCATTCAATGTTTAGTTTTATTTGTTTTTTTTTCTGTAATGGATGATTTTTTTAAAATTAAAATAATGTTAAGTTGTTGATTTTCCCAAAAAAGACAATTTTTTAAAGGCCTGGGAAAAAAACGGAAAAAACAGGTTTTTTCCCTTTGTTTTACTGTTCATTCAAAATGTTATTTTTAAATCTCATAATATTTTCTTCTTAGACTACAACCGGACAAGCTTTAGTGGCGTCAAAACATTTTCAACCTCACGAAACTTTAGTTTTTGTGCGACTAGTAAAGTGGGCCTTAAAAGCTTTGGATATTTATACATTAAACGTTTCGCCGCCACAAGGTCCGCAAAGGTTGAACCAACAGAATGTCCGAACGAAGGAGGAAAAGGAAGTTTTGGAACATTTTAGTGGAGTGGTAAGTAATGTTTTTTTTTCAAGTTATGCTTTACGGATTTTCGTCAAGTTACTGGAAGATAAAAATTAAAAAAAAAAATGATTTTTTGGACCCTTGGGAACACTGGGGCACCCATAAATATGGCAACGTCTAATGGTCAATTAATTTGATATATCTATAAAGTTATAAATATACGATTAATAATATATCTATAGCAAGTTATAAATGAGTCATTCCAAATAAAAACACCAAGTGGGGTGCGCCGCTTGATATTTTATTTTGATAAAAAAAAATGAGGATGATCTTTTAGGTATCAAATATGAAAATCCGTTGCCGTTTTAATTTTTGGATTCTTTACTTTTAATCGGCACCCTTTAGAAATCTGAAATCGTGTCAATTTCTTACTCTCTTATAGTGGGCCAGAACTTTTTTTCTGTGACAAATATTGAAATGATTTTAATTTTGTTTTACTGTTCAGTAAGTGTGTTTTCGATATAAATTATAATTATTATTATCCAATTAGTTAATCTCATAAAAGAATGGTAAACCACTAAAGATTCATGATAATTTGCCAATTTTTGTGATTTTTGTCTGGCTCCTGTGCCTATTCTACTAAATCTAGAAAGTTATTTTTTTCAGGTATCAAGTACTTATACAATAGAAAACGTTACTAATATTTTAAGTTTCTAGACTATCATTTTCTTTATTAAAAAATCTATTGAAACTTGATAATTCTTAAAATTAGTCAATTATGCTCTCAGAAATCATTATGTTGAGGAAAAAATATTCATATCATTTATTACACTTGCAAACTTTTTGAAATCACAATTTAAATACGCACAAATAATATTTATGAAATATTTCTGACAGTTCTGACATTTCTCTACCAAACATGAATTGACTAAGTCAAAGCCATCTAAATTTTAAATTATAAATAAAACTAACAGTATCGCTTCTTAACTGCATTAAAAAAATTACATGGATAAAAATAACAAAACAAGACTAACTAGACTGAAAAGATGAAGGTCGGGACTACATTTCGTGAAAGTTTAATATTTTTATTTTTTCCTTAACATAATGATTTCTGAGGGCAAAATTGGCTAATTTTGAAAATTATCAAGTTTCAATAATTTTTTTAATAAAGAAAATGATAGTCTAGAAACTTAAAATAGTAGTTACGTTTTCTATTATATAAGTACTTGATACCTAAAAAAGCAACTTTCTAGATTTAGCAGAATAGGCACAGGAAGGAGCCAGACAAAAATCACAAAAATTGGCAAATTATTACAAATCTTTAGTGGTTTACCATTCTTTTATGAGATGAACTAATTAGATAATAATAATTAATATTGAAAACATACTTACTAGGCAGTAAAATAAAATTACAATCATTTCAATAATTGCCACAGAAAAAAAATTACACAATTTCAGGTTTCTAAAGGGTGCCGATTAAAGCAACTAAAAATTAAAACGGCAAAGGTTTTTCATATATGATACCTAAAAGATCATCCTCAAATTTTTTCATTAAAATAAAAAATCATGCAGCGCACTTTTAAATTCATATTTGGTGTTTTCATTTGGATTGACTCATCTGCATAATGCTATTGTATGAACATAATAATAATAATAATAATAATAATAAACATCTTTATTGGTTTCCCAACAGGCTATCGACCTTGGTCTTTCTGCCAAATCTTACAAAAAAAAAAATATAAATATAATAATTGTTAATTGTAGTTACAATATTGAATTTATATAAAAAAAAGTAATAAAAACATATAAATCTCAAATATTTTAGTCTTCGTTAGCGATGTCCGTGATTATCTCCCATAAAGTTTGTGTAGGATATTTCCTTTTGGGGGGCAGGTTATGGTCTCTACCGTGCATTAAGTTTTCCATAATTTGTATGTTGTGGTGTTTTTTTGCAAATTGGCATGCCAGCTCCTTGAAACGTTCCAAAATGGGGGTGATGTTGATGTTGATTTGATGGATTATGAAGTGGATTATCTGGGTGTCTCATTTTGGTGATTATTCTCAAACTACTCCGTTTAGCCACTTCTAGCTTACCTACAGTAGTTTTTTTGCAATTAAGGTAGATTAGGAAGGCATATTCAATAATGGGCCTGCGTATCATTTTATAGAGTTTCAGGTTGTATACCGTTATTTTTGTATGTCAGGCTTCTGAAATGTTTGACTCTTGTAATCATCTTGGTTTTCATTAATTTGGCATGTATGAACATATTTTCCTGAATATTTACTTTAATTAAATTAAATATATTTTCTCTAAAATCCACAGCTTGTTTTCAAGATTTCGTTCAAAACCGTTAATCTTTATGCCTCACCCTGTATTTTATTTTATTTATTATCACCAAATTCCTTACATTGCAAGGACCTATAGGGGGCATTAGTGTTTGATAGATAATATTTTCTTTAGTTTATAAAATATAACAACTAGATTCTTTAGCTTATTTGTAATATAATTTGTATGAGTCTTCCATCTCAAATGTTGATCATTCATTAGGCCAAGGTATTTGCAGGTACTAACATGTTCGATCTTACTTGCATTTATGAATATCTGCATATTGGTTGGTATAGTATCCACATAATTGGCAAAAGTCATTTAAAATTTAAGACTAATTTATTATTATACAGCCAGTTATATACTTGGTTAAGTTTGGTATTTAGACCATTTTGTATTTGGATCCAATTCTGACCTGTCATTGGGACCGTAATATCATCTGCATATGCTACCATTTCAGTATGTTGATTTATTAGATGGTTGATATACACTATAAAAAGTAGAGGTCCCAAAATTGAGCCCTGCGGCACACCCACATTTACCACAACAGAGTCACTTTTGGTACCATTAACTTTTACTAATTGTTTTCTGTTATACAACTACGTTTTAATTAACTTCAAGCAAACTCCTCTTACACCTACATTGTACAATTTATCACATAATCTGCTATGATCTACGGTATCAAAAGCTTTTGAGTAATCCATGAAGACCATAGCTGTTGGTTTACTTTTCCCTAGGTTTGAATAAATAAAATTTGTTGTAAGTGCCACCGCATCTTCCGTGCTCTTTGATTTAACAAAACCATATTGTTTTTTGTTTATAATATTACAGTTTATCAAGAACTCATATATCCTTTTATGTATTATTTTTTCAAATACCTTCGATAAATTTGATATTAGTGCAATTGGCCTATAGTTTCCAATATAATTTCTTGGTCCATTTTTGTATATGGAGCATATTTCTGCTAATTTAAACTGCTTCGGGCACACTCCTTACACCATAACATTGTTAATTATTACCATTAATACTGGAACTATGAAGTTTACCGCCAGTTTCAACGTTTTAGCATGTATACCATCATATCCACCTGATTTATTTATTAGGTTTTTTATTATACTTATTATTATTATTGGTATAACATTTTTCTTTACTTCCAGTTCTCAACCATGAACCCCCAAACTTTCCACGAGATCTTCTCCACGACCATCGAGTACCTAGTGGAACGCGTGTACAAGAACCCGACTCTTCAAACGGTCCCCAACACCCTGCTTGCCAACCCCGCCACCAGCCCGATATTCGCCACAGTTCTTGTCGAATACCTGCTCGAGCGGATGGAGGAGATGGGCTCGAACGCCGAACGCAGCAGCTTGTATCTAAAGCTGTTCAAGCTGGTGTTTGGGAGTGTGTCGCTTTTTGCGCAAGAGAACGAGAACATGCTCAGGCCGCATCTTCACCAGATTGTCAACAGGTACGTCTTTTAAAGGATTTATTGAATTTTTTATACCATGGCACGGCAGGCACTCCCAAAACAGTTTTGAGGTACTTTATACAACCACAGGCAAAATAATCGATCCACACAAATTTTCGATGAATTTCAATCGCAAATAACTTTTTTATTTGATGTCTGATTTAAACGAATATTAAAGAATATTGTAGATAAATTAATGGACAATCGCTTACATTTTAAAAAAGTACTAAAAATAGACGTACGTTTATAATATACAGGTTTAAAAAAAAAGATGTTTTTAACCATAAGTTTAAGACACTCTGTAGAGTGGCAAAACCGTATATTCTAAATTCAGTTTTATTTATCAAGTCACATCTATTCTTAACAGTTTTGTTTTTGGTTCACCTCAATATATTTATTTTTGTGGAAAATATGGATTTTTAAAAAAAACATTGCAATTTCCAATATTTTTCTGTATGAAGATTGCTATGGTCCATCTATAGGCTATGGAGAATGACAGTGACAGTTTTGTTGAATCATTTCATACTTGGACATGTCATACACGGCTTTCAAAAGCTATCAAATTGTTTTTTGCAAATTAATGTTTAAATTTTGAGGTGTATTCTTACTTTAAAAAATGGATATGTCTCCGACTGATGTTGCCAGAGCCATTAATTTAATTCAGGATGGACGGTCACAGTATTACTTGGCAAGTGTTTTAAACATCACAATAAGTAAAGTTAAAGGGCATCAGTCGGAGACATTTTTAAAAGTATGAAAACACCTCAAAATTAACACATTAATTTACAAAAAACAATTTGATAGCTTTTGAAAGCTGTATATGACATGTCCAAGTATGGGATGATTCAACAAAACTGTCACTGTCATCCTCCATAGGCTATGGATGATCTGTGTATGGATGGACCATAGCAACCTTAGTTCTTCATACAGGAAAAATATTGGAAATTGCAATGTTTTTTTAAAAAAATCCATATTTTCACAAAAATAAATATATCAAGGTGAACCAAAAACAAAACTGTCAAAAATAGATGTGACTTGATAATTAAAACTTAATTTAGAACAATATACGGTTTTGCCACTCTACAGAGTGTCTTAAACTTATGGTAAAAAACATCTTTTTGTTTAAACCTGTATATTATAAACGTACGTGTATTTTTTAGTAATTTTTAAAATGTGAGCGATTCTCCATTAATGTATCTACAATATTCTTTAATATTTGTTTAAATCCGAAATCAAATAAAAAAGTTATTTGCGATTGAAATTCATCGAAAATATGTGTGGATCGAATATTTTGCCTGTGAGTGTATCTAGGAGTAAATAAACTTGTTTTTAATCAGGAAAAAACTTATATAATGCAATTTTTTTTCTACTGCAAACCAATATACTTCTAGTTTCTTAATAAGTTTAAATAACAAAAGTATTGAACAGGAAACCAAGTTTAAGCTTCTTGGCATAACACTTGATTTGTCATTAAGATTCTACCAGTATGTTGACATTGTTTGTAAAAGGTTATCAGGTTATTGTGTTGCTTTAAAACGTCTTAATCAAATAGTGAGTAGAGATGCAGCCTTTTGTTTTTATCATTCAAATTTTAAAACATCTTTACGATATGGCGTTATTTTATGGGGAAATAGCTCCTCCGTAAATTGTCTGTATCGATTGCAAAAAAGAGCAATAAGATGTATTTTTGGTTTATGTCCAACTGAATCTTATAGACCTTTTTTAAGAAAAATAAGATATTGAGTTCCTTATAAATTTTTGAAATATTATCTTTTGTTCACAATAACATAAGTCAATTTAGATCATTAAATGTTTGGCATACATATAACACACGTTTTGGTCATCATTTAGAACATAGTATTCATAATTTAACTTTGTTTGAAAAAAATCCGTACTGTTTATGTATAATAAGCTAATAGATTATTTAACAAGCATTTATTTAAAAAGCATTTATTTAAAAAGTTGCAACCATTTATACGTGAAATAAAAACTATTCGAATTGAATGTTGTTTTTACGATTTAAATGAGTATTTAAAGTTTAATTTTTAGTTTTAGAATAAGAATTTAATTTGTACTTCTCTTTTAATGTCACTGTTATTTTTATTTTCTTTATAATTATTAATTTGTTTTTTATGACTTGTCCTATATCTGCAAAGGATTAATAAATGATTTATTTATTTAATGAATTATTGGCTATTTTTATACTTTTCAAAATTTAAAAGGAATAAGAAAAACAATAAATAATAATACTAATAATTTCACACTGAATTTTTGGACCTCCATTACTAAAAAAAATTTGACAATATTACATTTTTAGTATTTTCCCGTGCATTATTTTAAGTATCCTGTACTATAAAGACAATTTTAATAAGGTTGTATAATAGCAACTTGCAAAAACAAAATTTATCTTGTCAATTTATTAAAGTTCATTTTTTTTATCTGAACTGCGGCAACGTTGCAAATTTAGGGGTTTGGTTGGTAAATACGGAACCAAAATTGTTGCATTGATTAAACCAAACTAAACTATATATATATATATATACAGGGTGTTATGTAATTAATCTTATATATTAAAATACTGAATACCTTTTGACATAAGGAGTAAAGGAAAAATATTTAAAAAAAAAATTCCAAAGATAAAGAAAAAATGTGCATTAGAACTTCTAATTTAGAAGTATTTTATATTTTTTGTGATACGCCACTGGTTACACACTTGGTTTATCTCTGCACACTTGTGTTCTGTGAGTACATAGATACCAACCAACAAAGTAGCTGCGCGTTGCCAGATGTAAAAAATTGTTACTAAAAATTTTTCTTGCAAAAAATAAATAAAAACTCAATAAATACAAAAGTTTTACGCCCTTAAAGCTCTAATACCCTTCTGTATTTATTTACTCATCCAGCTATTAGCTTAAGCAATGATTAGAAAATTTTGTACCTATTTTAAAATATCCATAACCACAAAATTAATTTTTTCCACGGTTTTTTTCTTTGTTTACTCAGATGAAATTGGGACCAGTTCACAGGTTAAACTTTAAACATTTAATTTGTGTAAATAAATCCAAAAGCACTTCTCTTAGTTAAGATATTTACAATTTGAGCACATAACCTAAAATTTGAAAAAAATGCACTAGATTCTGTCATAAAAGTTGGCAGATTTTGTTTGAATTTACCTTCAGTACAAAAATGACATAACCAACAATTAATAAAAACGCCAAATTGACGTTTTGCAGTGTTGATTTTGTCATTTTTGTAATTAAGCTTAATTTAAACAATGCTTGGCAACTTTTTTGACAGAATTTGAAACGCTGTTGTTACCAACATAATAAATTAAATTAGGCAACCAGATTAGCCTAAAGTTCCTAGTCGATCAGTGGCGTACTTTTTGGTAGGATAAAGGTTATTATAAATTATTTTTAGTCTTTGGAATTTAGAAAAAAAAAGTTTCAGGTGCTTCTTAATGGACCCTAAGGAACAACCCATTTTAATATAATTACATAACACCCTGTAGTTATAAACGTAATAATTACTATAATTATAATAATTATTATAATGTAATATAGTTATAAACGTAATTATAATGTAATTGTGGTTATGTTTAAATTATTCTGGGTTACATTGAACGGTTGTTGAGTCAAGTTGAGTTGTCAAAATTCGTAGTTAAAACTGCAATTCATTTGGCTTTGGTGGTGCGTAGATGAGTAAAATCATATAAAAAAGTAGTTAAAATATAGGTGACTACGCTTTGAAAAGAATTGATATAAAAGAAATTAAAATATATATATATATATAATGTATATATTGTCCAGGACTATTAATGATCTGTAACTTGCAAATTAAAAGAAGAAAAAGTTTCCTGATTATTGTTGTCTTTTTCAAACCAAATGGGTGCTATTTTCAAAGACAGGAAAATTAACTACTAGATTTTTCACAAAATGGTTAAACGTAACAGCAAATAATTTTTATTTTTTGTTTTTTTATTTCCCCCTTATTTTTTAAAATTTCAAAAATTTCTGATATGTTTAGCTGAAAATAATGTGTGATTTAATATTTGTAAAACCAAAAACGTTACTTTTTTACTCCAAAAATGTTCATAAGGCAATGTACTTTTTCTGCCATTGAGGCATTTGGCATAACTTAATCAAAATGAAGTTTTGCCCTTAAAAGTTATTTTACTTTAGAATCTGATATTATTTTTGGCATAGTTATCTTTTTATATCGATATTATATTAGTAATTAACAAGTAAATTATCTATAATAAATATTACTGTCAATTTGACAGTGTCAGAGTGTTTAATTAAGTACCATTTTTTAAATACTAAAAATACCAAATCAAACTGGCCATTAATGGTAAGGATTAACTCCTATCTTACTTAGTTTTTTGATTTATTGAAAACTAATTAAGCCAGGACTTGTTAACCATTGGAAAGAGCGAAAAAACGTAGGCAAAAATTTGTAACGTGATTTAAAAAAAGTGTCCTTAAAACAGTTTGGCTCTGGGTTACATATATTGTTTTTGTCAAGTATAAAGAAAATATGATATTTTCTCGATTTTTATGTAAGAATGTCATATTCTCGCACGCAAAATCGTTGAAGAATGAAGCTCATTCTTAAACGATTTTTGGTAACATTTAGTTTTTAAGTATTGGTACCCCCAAAATGTCAAACTGTTTAATAACCTCAAATTCATTACTTTTAGGATTATTTATAATAGCTTTGTTTGTTATCCTGCACTAGTGCAACCTGAACTACACTTTTATTGAAAATGAAGCCTTTATTATTGTTTTGTTATATTAGGTTTGCTCCAACAATGCATTTTAATGCAAAATTTTAAGTTTAATGTGAAAAAGTGCAGTTCAGGTTGTACTTGTGCAGGATAACAAATATTGACAAATAAATGAGCCAAACAGGTAAATCAAACTATATTTTATTGGAAATATTATATACCCACAGTACACAAAACACAAAACTACTATAAATTAATCACTAGCACAATTGTTATAAACTTTTATTGTAATGTTCGGTGTTGCTTGTAAAACCTCCTGTGACATTTTTCACTGCTAAAAGTAAACACAATTGTTCAAAAATATCAGAAAACATTAAAAAATAATACAATACTTACACAAAACCTTATTATCCAGTTGACAAATACAGACAGATTATTAATAAATAGTAAATAAAAATAAATCTACCTGTCCATGCAACTGTCATTTTGTGTTGCCAACTGACATTTTGCGAGAAAAATCCCCCAACTAACAACGACCACAAAACAATTAAAAAAAACCTAAATAAAAGTTAAAATCGAGAAAATAGTATAAATCACACGTTGCAGAAGGCTATTCTCGCACTCATTCGTTCGTCCACTCGCTCCTTCGTCGCTCGAGGCCAAATTTCGAATTCGTGCGAGAATATGTGGCCTTCTGCAACTTGTACTTTAGGATATGTTCCGTAAATACACACGAGTTACCGGTCTGGTTACTGAAATAAATTCCTGATTTTCTCGGTTAGTTCATATTTACGGGACACCTTTATTTGAAAAAACATAACCCAACTTACTTTTTTCGACCTACTATTTACTATTTTTTATTGAAACTTTTATTTGTGTCAAAAACTACAACTTGCATATATTTTTAATATTATTTCTATAGTTACATAAACAAACCTAAAACACCCTATATACTGAATTCAATTATTTTTGGACAAAACGTATAGTAAATTTAAAAGTAAACTACGTACACGTCATCAATCAGCTGATCGGGCACGGTTGTCAATGTGATGCTAAAATCCTTGCATCAAGGGAAAGTGGTAGTGCAACTACACGGCGATAGATGGCGTTTACATGAATAATACGAAAATGTCAAAAGTCTGAGTTTTTATAACCTATATGATGCACCGCCAAAAGTATGTTTTTAGCCATTTTTAAAGACATTTTCTGATATAAAACCCAAAAATTTTGCCATCTAAAGTCAGTCTCTGGTATATATATTATTATTTCATGTATCCAACATATATTTTGTTAAATATTCTAATATATAATTAATAATAATCCTATTTACCTCTCTAACAGCTGTTAAAGGTAACAAAGGTCCATTATTATCCCGTTCTGCCTCAAAATAGCGTATTAAGGATGACACCAACTCTTGACTCCGACTATTTAAATGCTTCGGCATTTTAAATATAGGAAACACAAAAAAACGATATAAAACAAACACAAAAACGGCAATGAAAACTTAAACGATATAAAATAACACAAACAACAAACAAAATAAACGAAATAATACACGAATTAAACGAAATATTCAAAAACACAACTGACAGCTTCGAAATTCTAAAACGTCAAATTATTTTTTATGTGTCATTTAAATATGAAAAATTTGAATGTAAACATGACAACATCACAATTGTTGCCAACTTAATTTGGTTAAAATGCATTCAAATATTCAATTACAGACTTCGATTTAGTCATTTAGTGTTGGTACCAATTCGTAAAATTTTTGTTTTATTGATGACGTGTACGTAGTTTACTTTTAAATTTACTATATTTTTTATGCGAAGTCTGCTCCTGTGTTAAATTTTTAGGTTAGATAACCAACAAAAAACAGTAATTTTGTTTAGGGCAACACTGTTTCCATTTGGTTTGCAGCACTGGTAACCGATTTAACCGATCATACATCGTCGGTCGTTTCGGTAACGATTAGTTAACCTATTTTTCAGGAACCGCGTTTCTTAACTACATAATTTTCAGGAATTTTTCATTTACGGGACACCTTAACCGAAACCAAACCAACCAAGTTGATTTACGGAACATACCCTTAATATACTATTCTATTTTTTTATTTAAAAAAATTGCAACACTCTGTATCTCTGAAACTTGGTCTGTAAAATCTTTTCCTAATTTTTTTACAATATTAATGAATCCTTGTATATATTATAGATAGATTTTATAATATAGTTTTTAGAGTACATTTTTAGACAATAAATTATAAAAAGAAAGGTTTTAGGACATGATCTAGGATAATTTTAAACATTATTTTGACATTTAAATTTATTTTTTACCTGATACAATAAAATCATGAATGAAAGGTCACATTATTTGAAGTAGGTAAATGTTTTTTTAATTTTTTTTTGTACGTAAATATTCCATGTGCAATTTTAGCTACCTAAGCGGACTTGTGTATTTTGCTTGCATAACAACCTTTATAGATGTGTGATATTTCGGCTTATGAAATAAACAACGTTGCCAAGTGCTTGATGCTTGATAACAAGCATGATTTTAAAATATCCTCTCTATAGCGTGCTATGGCGTTAGTACCCTGTATATTTGGATTAATTTGCAATAATTGCTCTAATTGTTTAAAAAAATATAAAATACCGTTTATTTAATTAAGATTTTTCGAAAAAAATTAGACGTTCATTGTTTATTACAAATAATAGTTAATATTATTTTTTATTGTAGATCCATAGATTTGGCTATGAGTGCTATGGACCCCTACAACTATTTCCTCCTGCTGAGGGCTTTGTTCAGGTCCATAGGAGGGGGTAGCCACGATCTGCTCTACCAGGAATTCTTGCCGCTGTTGCCAAACCTATTGGAAGGTAAATTATATAAATAAAAACAACTTTGACTGTAATTGTTTCTTTTTTATCTTTTTCAGGCTTAAATCGTTTGCAGAGCGGCCTGCACAAGCAACACATGAAGGATCTCTTTGTCGAATTGTGTCTTACAGTGCCTGTAAGACTGAGCTCGCTGTTGCCATATTTACCTATGCTTATGGATCCGCTTGTCTCAGCGTTAAATGGATCCCATGTTTTGATTAGTCAGGTAATAAATTAGAATGGACTTTAGATTGTACGCTTTAAAATGTGGATTTGACAGTTCGAAACTAATACGAAAAAAAAAATTAAAAATTATATAAAAATATTTTTGTCGGATTTTAATTTTAATTTAAAAGTAAAGTAAAGTAGTGTAGTAACGCCATTAATTTTTTAATTTTAATTTAATTTTTTTAATTTAACAAATTTATAAAAAAATTTTAATTTTTTCAAAAAAATTTTTTGTAAATTTTAAGAAATTTTCAAATTTAGGAAATTTTCAAAATTAGTCCCACCATTTTGTATATTTATATTACTGTGCAAGTTTTTTCCACGATTTTTTGGTTTTGAACTCTTTTTTTACCAAGGTTTTAAAATTTCCGGAAAAATTGAGATGGCGGAAAAAACGGAAAAATTGTAAAATTTTCAGAAAAATTGACCGTTTTTTCCTTTTTTCTGGACCATATTAAAAATTGGAAAAAATTAAAAATTTAAAAATTATATACAAATATTTATCTCGGATTTTAATTTTAGATTTTAAATTTGAATTTTATTTTGTAAATTTTTGCAATTTTGCTAATTTAAAAAATGTATTAAATTTTGTAAATTATTGAATTTTTAAAATTTTTTGTAAATTTTAAGAATTTTACAAATTTAGAAAATTTTGAAAATTTGTCCCACCATTTTGTATATTTATATTAATGTGCAAGTTAAATCCACAATTTTTTGGTTTTGAACTCTTTTTTACCAGGGTTTTAAAATTTCCGGAAGAATTGAGCCGGCGAAAAAAAACGGTTTTTTTTTTTCGAAAAAAAACCGGAAAAATTGGGAAATTTTCAGAAAAATTGACTTTATCACTTTTTTTATTTTATTCAAAGGGTAATAAGAACAAAATGCAAAAGTTAATTTTTCTGAAAATTTACACGTATGATCAAGAAAAAAGTGAAGTTCCGACGGTGATTATAATCATTATATTATGATTATAATAATTATCTTTTTTATTCTAATTGAGTAAGAATATTCCACCTGTCCCAAACAACATTCTGTATTAACATACAAACTTTCGTTTTATTTGACACTTCGATTTATAAAATTATAATTTTGTAATTGAATATTTAAAATGGACTCCTTTTTGCAAAAAAGACCCAACCGACGGTATATTTAACGTTTACGCTTATTTTCGTAAATCAATTTAATTTAATTCAGTGTTTAGTTTAATTTTTTTGTAACAAAGCATATTTTTTTAAATTAAAATAATGTTAAGTTGTTAATTGCTACGTTTAAATGTATATTTTTTGCAACAAAAGTTCGGTTTTTCAAAAAAAAAAAAACAATTTTTACAAGACCTGAAAAAAAACAGGTTTTCCCCCAATTTTTCCATTTTTATTAAACAAACAACAACATTTGACTTAAGTCAGTATGGTTATCTAGAGAATAGTAACACACAAGCGGCAGTTACAGACTTTAAACCAAAATAGATCTGCAAATAAACAATCAACTTTATCAACATTTAAAACAAGCCAAAATAATGATATACATCGAAGTCAATATTTATCAACCAGTGGAAATTATAGTGCAATAAATAACGGTACCATTGAGTTTAACAAACTACCTCTGGAAATTTAAAAGAAAGATACAAGAATATCCTAAGTACTAAATGTTTTATTTAAATCTAGTTTTGGGATGTAAACAATTAAGCCATATTATTTTTAGTTATTTCAAATTTAGTTAGGGTATTAGGTTAGAATACGGCACCAGTCTGATAGACTGTATTTTGTATTCTTAAATAAATTTCAATATGCTAAAAAAATGTGATATTTATTTAATTTTGTTATGATTTTAGGAATTATATTTATTTTGTTATATTTTTATATACAATTAGTTGTATTTATGTAGTGTATTATATACATTTACATATTTTTTTATGTGCAATATTGAAATAAAGTTATTATTATGACTATTAATGGTAAAAATTACGTCAAAAATGTTTATTGGCATGGTTACTTTATTTTCTTAAAGATGTTGCTTCATACAAATATTTAATTTAAATCATTTTTTAGGCCATTTTAAGTATTTGTCGTAAAAAAAGTATAGTATGCAACTCGTTTATAAACTTTTTAGGCAATCATTTAATACAGCACTCGCTCGCTTGTGCCTAAATTAAATTTGTGACTAAAATGGCGTTTATCAAACTTGATTCATAATAGGATTTTAGGTTTCAAAATATATAAAAATAGGTCAAGTTTTTTCTTGTTTTAGGTGAGAAAATTCTCAAATTAGGTACGTACTTTACGAAAATAAGTACTGGAAAACAAATTTTAGGTGGTAAAATAGTTAAATTTATTATTGTATAAAATTGTATTGAACAAGATTTTTATGATTTATAAAATTTAAAAATAACTGACGAAAATATCTTATAAAAATAGGTCACATCATAAATTTTATAATTTTTTAATGCAGCGGCACATTTAAAATGTTTTTGTTAATAAGGATACATTTCCGGAAAATAACAAATTAACACTCATTATGATAAAAATGTTTTTAGTTGCAATTATGTCATCTAAATACAACACCAATATTTCCAAAAACATGTTTTTTGATGGTAAAATGTAAAAATTAGGTCCATTTCTCTTAAAAATGAAAATTTAGGTAAAATAGGTAAAATGAAATCAGGCTCAAATGAAACCATTTTCTTCAAAACGGATTTCATTCCATTGCACATAAAGTTATAATTAGCGTAGACAAATAGGTAATAATATACTACTAAGTCAGCAATATTTTTTTATTTAAATTAAAATATTATGTATGTATTAATTTATTTTAGGGCCTAAGAACGTTAGAGCTATGCGTTGACAATCTGCAGCACGATTTCCTCTACGAGCACATCCAACCGGTCAGAGCCGACCTGATGCAGGCTCTGTGGAGAACTTTGCGCAACAACGACCAGGTGGCGCAGGTGGCGTTCAAGGTTCTGGGCAAGTTCGGCGGCGGCAACCGCAAAATGATGATCGAAGCGCAACGCTTGGAGTACATATCGTCCGATTACGACCCGCCGGCTATTTTGGCCAAGTTCGAGGAACGCGACCAAACCATCGAGTTCCCCGTGCAAAAGGTGAGTTTTATGTCAATATAGCCTTAAGGCTTGTTCCAAAATTTTAATTTTTTTTGATGCACTGTCTGTTTTTTATGCATCAATAGGGGCTTATTTAAAAAGGTTAAAACCAAATTTGCACCACCTAACCATTATTTCTTACAAAGATATACGCAAAAATACATTTTTTTAGTTTATAGCGAATATATATCTCGGCCCCCTTATATTGCACAATAAAAAGTAAAATAACAAAATTATTTTTTATAAAATTTCCAATCATTTTTGTCCAAAGCACTTTTGGTTTAAATAAATAAGTAAATAAATATAGTTAGTTAAAATTAAAAATTTGTTTTTTTCACTTTTTTGCAAAAATTTCGCAAACGATATATATATTTTATGATAAATTATTATGATCAACATTTTGTACTTCTTAATATTATACAATTTTAAAAACGTCGAACATAACTCGATGAGTATTAGCCGCGCGAATACACGAATAATAGCAATATTATCAAAGAATATAGAGAAATATCTGCGTTTTTTTTTTAAATTTGATATTGAAGATAGTGTTTATATATTATGGATGTTAGATGCTTTGGAAAAATATTGGATAACATTTAAATATATTTTTTATTATTATAAGAGAATACCTATAACACGGTTTTCCTCCCATGAAAAATTTTAACAGATTTTAAAAATGAAGGTTAAAAAACGTACCCGTGTCTCACCGTTTCACGAAATCACGTCATTTAAATTTTTTATACAGCTATTCTTGTTATTTTAACATTTTAATTCCCTTTTTTGTATTTTTTCTTCAAATATTTTATGTTTTTAAATAATACAAAAATTATACTAAAAAAAATATTTTAGGTTTTAATTTTGTTTTTTTTTTAATAAAACAACAGATTTGTATTTATATTAATTATCTTATATTAAATATATTTTGGAAACAAATCTTGATCTTTTAATTTGACGATTATATATTGCTTTAGAATTTATAGTGGTATCAAACCTAAAAAACACACTTGCGTCTATATCCCAAACCTATTCCCTGTCAAATGCGTTCCGTAGTTTGTCACTGTCAAGTGTTTCTTTAACAAATTTCAAAGTAAAAAGTTATACAGGTACACTGCATTGTGCCATACCAAACCAACCCAAACTTAACAACCCAACCGACCCCGCCCCATTGGGCCCCTCCCGCCCCATTGAGCAATAGAGGTATAATATATCTAAGGGCAGGCTTGATTGTGACAATGGGGTGGGAGGGGCCCAATGGGGCGGGGTCGGTTGGGTTGGGTTGTTAAGTTTGAGTTAGTTTGGTATGGCACAATGCAGTGTACCTGCATAACCAAAATGACAGGGAATAGGTTTGGGATATAGACGCAAGTAAAAAACACCACTTGATATACACATTTGGGGTCCATTGGAAGTTTTTAGGGAACGGAAAAAAATATCGATTTGAAATTTAAAAGCGTTTATAATACATTAAGGTCTATTTTTTTTAAATATTTTGAACAAAATGCCACTTTCGGTTTGACCGAAACTTTGTGGGTTATAAAATAACCTTAAATTAACCTTCAAATTAACATTTCACAGCCCTGATAGAATAAGGTTTATTTTTTACAAAAGAGGAGTAAAATAGTTGCCCTTAGCACTTTAGGGCCTCATTTGAGGCTTACAAGTGCCTTTGTAAGAAACACAACGTTTAAAACGATTATTAATCTGTACAAATCCAAAGCACAAGAATTATAAACAACAAAAATGGCCGCCATTGAATGATGTGCAGTGTTGCAGTGATTTTTAGTATTTTTAGTACGAGATCTAACAGACCTAGTTGAGTGGATTGTGGATTATAATACAATTTTTTTTAAATCAATAAGATATACAGGACTCCTGGCTTATGGTCTAACGGTATAAAATGACGTTTTCTAGTAGAATAGTGACCGGCTATAAATAAGCAAAAGTAAAATAAATGTGGCGTCACATGTAAACATTCCTTCAGATTTTTGTTGTCATAAAATTTATAACAACCCACGTAGTTTTGTTAAGTTAATAAATTTATTAAGAAGCCTTTTTCTTTCTTGAAAACGTATTATTGAATTTCCCATTTTGCTCGAAAAAATATTTTAAATTTTTACTCATCCACGGGCAACGGTAAAATAAACTTACAAATTTGTAATGATCTTAATTTAGTAAACTTCTTTGACACCCGGCCAAAAATCGGGATTTCATGGTGAATTCATAATGATAACATATTAAGTGCTTCATCATAGTAATATCATGGTGAACTTCCGCGTGTTTATGGCACAAAAATTAAAATTCAAACACTGATGATATTACTCACGTGGGATATTCGTGTGGCACAAAATTCACTTGTGATAACCTACGATATTTATATCATTTTATTATTTATATCAACAAAATTACCTGGTCATAATATTAATGAAGAAAGAATTTAAAATTAACAAAAAAATCGGCAAAACTGATTATCCACCAAATATTTTCAAGGGAAAAACAACTGGATTGTCATAGCTTTGATGACATAAACAATCAGAAGAAATGATTACATGTAATGTCACATTTATATCCCTTCTGCTTATTTATAGCCAGTAACTATACTACTGGAAAACGTAGTTTTATAGTATTAGACTATACACCAAAAATCACAAAAATTTCAATAAATTTGAAATAGAACAATTTAAAAAAAACTTTGACGCCCTCTACCGGCTAAACAAAGCAATTTCAGATATATGTAACCAGCTTAAATCGAACTATTTTGGCGTCAGAAGTCGTTGTACAGACATTTTAGAGATTTAGACAAATTAATTATAATAATATATATAATAATTATTATAATTTGTCTAAATCTGCTCAATATAATACCGTTTATGATATTTCAGACATTTTTATAATTTATTATTTTGTTAAAAAATAAATGTGAATTTTATTTATGTTTTAAAATAACTATATTTTTTAATATTACAATTTTTGTATAGTTAATAATATTAAAAGACTTCAATTTCTATTTTCTTTACATTTTTAACTGAAGTTTACTTTCGCGTTTTATATCTAAATTCCTTTTAAACCTTTGGCGCAGTCGGAAGGATTTCAGATAAAAATACTCATTCTAAGTATTTTTTTATGAAGCAAATTTTCTAAATTATCATATGCTGCTTTGTTAATTTCATGATAAATTGTTAGGTCATCGAGACGGCGTTCAACGCGCTGAAACAAAGCAACACCGATCCTTTCTACAGAAAGCAGGCGTGGGAGGTGATCAACAGCTACTTGACTGCGTCGCGAAATTTGAACGACGACAAGACCACCCTGATCAAGCTGTTCCTGCACCCGAGCTTCCAGGACCCGAAAACGATACCGCAAATCAAGGGGTCGACGTACAAATCGATATACAAGCAGGCCAGGGAGACGCATCAAACCGCTCTGACAGGTGGGTGACAGTTAAATGGCAAATAAAATAAACTACAACATTTTTATAACTATATGTAACATCCAGATCAAATATGGAAAATTTGAGAATTATTTTAAATTTAGTTTAAGTATTAAATTAATATCAAAATTTTAAAATACACTTTTGATCTGATGCTACAATGGTTAAAGTAATTTTATTCTTTTTTCGTATTCCCAGCGATTGTATGATATGTTTTTTAGAATATCTTACACATTTATAGTTTTTCAGAATTTTAATTTACTGTTTTTACTTTTTACAAAATGTTAAAACCACCTGTATAACCCTGGCCAACATAATAAAATATTCAGTTAGCTCTTGTTTTCGCGATATTGCGCGCGGAATTGTGCTTAGGCCTTGGCCTTGATTTTGACATTTTAAAAGTAATGTTTTTTGTCTTTAATAGGTTTTAATTTCAAATTTTATTAAAAAATTACAGGTTTTATACCATTTTAAATATTTATTATTTCTAAATTTAAAAAAAATTTGAAATGGTATAAAATCTGTAGTACTTGAATTTATACCAGTTTAAATATTTATAATTTCTAAATTTTAAAAAAAATTGAAATGGTATAAAATCTGTAGTACTTGAATTTTTTTAATAAAATTTGAAATTTGTCGATAAACTTCAATGAATTAAATATTGTTCCACTTTAATTTGAATTATCTTAATTTGGGGGGACAGGAGGCTGGGGGCACACTTAAAAACTAACTTTTTTTTCGTAAACTTCAATTTAAATTCGGCTTGCGCAGAACTTGTTTATTTAATAAATGGAGGTGTGACTGAGTACACGTTATTCTTTGAAATAAAATGGATTTTTCTTTTTGTATGATCGTGTATTGTGAAAAGTTTTGATTTTCAGAGCGCTTTCGGCCTTAAGCCATCTATTTATTTATTTAATGTCATTATAAACTCATATAAATTTGATGTGGGTCCCATTTCTAATAACTGAGATATGGGTGTGCCCAAAATTCACCAGCCGCCACTAGATGGTGTATGCTTATTGAAAATTATTTGAACAATTTTAACCAATTTCCTAACTCCGTCCTGGTATGATTGTGAATTACGTCACTCGATGAGTAGTAGCCGCACGAATACACGAATAATATCAATGTTATCAAAGAATATAGAGACATATAGTGCGTTTTTTTTTAAATTTGATATTGAAGAAAAAATAGATAGATTTATTATGGATGCTCGATGCTTTAAAAAATATTAATTGCTATTTAAATCTATTTTTTTATTATTAAAAAAATACAATAATTTGTTTTATCCAAAAATATTTATTACAATATGTTAATAATGTGCCAAGATACTAGATGCTTTAAAAAATATTAATCACTATTTATTTCTATTTTTTATTATTAAAAAAATACAATATTTTTTTTAACCAAAAATATTTATTACAATATAGTGTTAATAATACAGATGCTAGATGCTTTGAAATAATATTTAATTATATTCAAATGTATTTTTTTATTTTTAAAAGAAAATAGATTAATTTTAACCAAAATATATATTTATTACAATTTTAAATTTTAGTACGAACAATTTACGAACAATTTTTAGAAATTCCTGTGAATTTTTATTTTTCTATCGATTTATTTTAAACCTTTTGTTAATATTATAAATTCCAAATAAAGTTTTTTAAAAGGGCGCGAATGAGTTTAAACTCCATCTAATGTTTTTTATATAGAAAAATTTAAAGTTTAATGGATCCATTAAAATGTTTGTAGATTTTTGGTTTTTTTCATATTTGTGTTTTACACGGTCAATATATAAAATTTCGTAAAATGTTAAATTTTTATTTAATAATAATAATAATAATTTGTTTCTGATATTACCTAATAGGTTTACATCGTCAAGTATACAGTGGAGTAATTCATACAATAATTAAATAATTTTAATTATACATGTTAAATATAATAAAAACGCCTAAGATAAAATTCAAATATTAAAAAAAAATTAAAATTAAAAACTCATTAGAGTCGTAAAAAACATTATTTTTAAGAATGAAAACCAAAGATTATCTTTGATTGTTTAAAAGAATTAAGGGACAGTTTCTTTATTTTATTAGGTAATTTATTATAAAATTTAAATAAATACGGTTAAAAATACTAATAAATTTAAAAAATAAAAATTGTCATGAAATCTCAAAAATATTTTGCAACCTGGGTGCTATATTTATAATTTATTTTTTATTGTGATAAAAAAATATTTAATACCATTTTAAATGAATTTATTATTATTATTAAAAAAATACAAAAATTGTATTCAACTTTATAATTGAGTGTTTTAAAAAAAACTACCGTCCAAACAGACAATTTTATTTTCTTAAAAAAAAATTTTTTGGACTATAAAATCATTTTTACAATAGTAAGTTTAATAAATTTTCTCAGCACATATCTAACATGTTTAGTTTAAACCACAATCCACACATGTGTGGATTGTGGTTTAAACATTAATTTTATGGAGATAGTGATGGGAAATAGTCACCTGTCTGATGTGGTTTTTAAAACACGATTTCCTTTTTTTTCTGTAATGCCAACGCTGAAAGTTTACTTTTTAAAATAAAGTTTAGTTTTACAATAAATCCTCGAATAAATCAAACTTTTATATTAATATTACAGGAATGTTCATTGGAGCTGCCATCAAAGAACTAAGACAATCCGTCATCCACGTATTATTTTCCGTAGTAAGGCACTACACCATGGTCGCTGTTGCGCAACAATCTGGCTGTTTTGCGTACTCTCCACGGTGAGTTTAAAAAATAAAAACACATTTAGAATCTGCATTATGTACATGTTTTCTCTTTCCAGTCCAAACAAGCAAGTGGCTCTGGACCCGCTAGTGTTGGTGGACGCTTTAACTATCATCATGGGGCACGAGGAACGCGAGCTGTGCAAACCCGGCCAACTGGGATTACATCTTATTGTGGATACCGCCACGGCTTTGCTGGGCAGCCAAGAGATGGCGTGTCGACTGCCGCTGATCGAGTACCTTTCCGAGAAAATGTGCTCCTTGTGCTACGAGCGGGCGTGGTATGCCAAGTTGGGAGGTGAGTTCGATTTTAATTCAACGTTTCACGTCTAATTAAAATGTTTCTTCTTCATATTTATTTCAGGTTGCATTGCGATCAAGTTCATGTTCGAACGTTGCGCCATTAAGTGGGTGTACGAGCACATGTTCACCTTCCTTAAGGCTCTTCTGTTTGTCATGATGGATTTGACGGGAGAAGTGTCGAACGGCGCCCTCGACATGGCCAAAGACAATCTGAAGAGGATGCTGTGCGTGCTGGTGGCGCCACCAGCCGAGACGGCCGATCAACAAACTAGGGATTTGCAGAACGAGGCTTTGCACAAGGTGAGGCAAAATAATTTTTAAAACCTATATTATACACTCACAGGCGAAATAATCGATCCACACAAATTTTCGATGAATTTCAATCGCAAATAACTTTTTTATTTGATGTCGGATTTAAACGAATATTAAAGAATATTGTAGATAAATTAATGGACAATCGCTCACATTTTAAAAAATTACTAAAAAATAGACGTACGTTTATAATATACAGGTTTAAACAAAAACATGTTTTTTACCATAAGTTTAAGACACTCTGTAGAGTGGCAAAAGTCAAATCTATTCTTAACAGTTTTGTTTTTGGTTCACCTCGATATATTTATTTTTTTGGAAAATATAGATTTTTTAAAAAAACATTGCAATTTCCAATATTTTTCTGTATGAAGAACTAAGGCTGCTATGGTCCATTCATAGGCTATGGAGAATGACAGTGAAGTTTTGTTGAATCATCCCATACTTGGACATGTCATACACGGCGTCAAAAGCATAGATAACAAAGCTATCAAATTGTTTTTTGCAAATTAATGTTTAAATTTTGAGGTGTCTTCTTACTTTAAAAAATGGATATGTCTCCGACTGATGTTGCCAGAGTCATTAATTTAATCCAGGATGGACGGTCGCAGTATTACGTGGCAAGTGTTTTACACGTCACAAGAAGTAAAGTACAAAGGGCAGCATCAGTCGGAGACATTTTTAAAAGTAAGAAGACACCTCAAAATTAACACATTAATTTACAAAATACAATTTGATACCTTTTGAAAGCTGTATATGACATGTCCAAGTATGGGATGATTCAACAAAACTGTCACTGTCATCCTCCATAGGCTATGGATGGACCATAGCAACCTTAGTTCTTCATACAGGAAAAATATTGTAAATTGCAATGTTTTTTAAAAACAATCATATTTTCCACAAAAATAATAAATACCTATATCAAGGTGAACCAATAACAAAACTGTTAAAAATATATGTGACTTGATAATTAAAACTTAATTTAGAACAATATACAGTTTTGCCACTCCACAGAGTGTCTTAAAGTTATGGTAAAAAAACATCTTTTTGTTTAAACCTGAATATTATAAACGTACGTGTATTTTTTAGTAATTTTTAAAATGTGAGCGATTCTCCATTAATGTATCTAAAATATTCTTTAATATTTGTTTAAATCCGAAATTAAATAAAAAAGTTATTTGCAATTGAAATTCATCGAAAATTTGTGTGGATCGATTATTTTGCCTGTGAGTGTATATTGCCCCTTTTAAAGATACAGTTAACATAATATGTTAATATCTTCTAAAAATGAATTATTTAAAGTTATTTTGTTTTTCATATTTTTTTTCATACGCTTAAAAATAAAATAAAATTCTTGGTCTGTTAATACAATTTTTTGTTTCAAAGGTTTACCTATTTCATAACTTGCTTTGTTTAAAAGTTATGTCATTTTGTTTCACGATAATTAATTACCGATAAATTAATTATTCTTTTTAGGGGTAAGTTTTTAACCTGATTTAAAAAATGCAATTAGAATTTCTGTCTTCTATTGTTTTTTGCATTGATTGTTTGATCAGGACCAATGTTTTAAATTTTCATATGTTGTAAAGATGGTATAATACTACTTTTAGAAAAAAATTCATTCATAAATACTGGACGTTTTTCTAAAACTACTGTTAAATACAGTGCAGTTAATGAAACAAATTACCAATAGCACAATACACTTATTTACGTTAATGGGATTCCCCGTATTTCCTAACTTCCTTACGGATTCTCGGGCGTTTCTTTAATAAATAAATTTAAGCATGTATGTTATGCAACCCTTTAAACTTTGATTTCGGTTGTTCTTCTAACAGGGACTCATGACAAAAATGATAGGTGACATGTCAAAAATGACAGGTGACTGATGTCAAAAATAATCTTTTACAGATATCAAAAATGAGCCATTTAAAACTAAAATAAGAAAAAACGAATGCTTCGTAAATTGTCAATAATGACAGATAACAAATGTAAGCTTATTTTTTTTCTACTCCCACATTTAAAACGACCATTATCGTACATGTTTCCATGACATTAAGTGACCTTTAAAGACACATTGTCAAGTTTGGGCTTTATGGCGCTTTAGTCACGGGCTGAAGTTATAAGTTAGTTAACAGTTGTCAAATGTCATACAATTGTTAAAATAAAGTGCCTTTCTTGTAAAATAATACCATTGAGTGAAGGAGTAGGAGTAATCAGTTATTAATCAATGATAATACTAAATGTGAAAATTATTTTATTATCTCAATGCAAAAATACAAAAGTATTAAATAGTTTCTTGACGCCAATATTTGAAAAGATTATATGAACGTTTGTACTGACGGTTTTTGGTGATTTTTTTGTATATAATAATTATAATATAATTCGAAGTATTTGTAAAAAAAAATATGCGAAAATATGGAAAATTGTGGGAAATACGGCCCTTGCCCCAAAAGTATTTTTTTTCAAGCGTTTGCGGTGAGCATGAAATATCGAAAACCGCCCAACAGATCTTAATTAATAAAAACCATATTAGTACATCCCCTTTGTGAACAAAGGGTTTTGCAAAAAAAAAATGTAACCCCTTAAGGTTCAACTAACAATTTTCTTCAATGTAATTTGGTAATATGTTTTTTATTTTATTTTTTGTTCTTATACTTTGCTCCTTGGACAATAAAGATATTATTATTATATACAAATTGCTCATGATTAAACATGTCGAAACAAAATCTTGATTTTTTTTTAGCAAATGCAATGCTCATTCAAAAACAATAAAAGATACACAAATTCTGATTTTTGAGCAATTTTTTATATCTTTTTGCTCGTTTTTAAATACACCCTGTATGAATCACCGTACAAATATGACTCAATCAAATTTTGTGGGAAAAAACAAAACTTTGCACATATCCGGGGAGTCCCCGGCGGTGACACTACGCGAGGCGAGAATTATATTGTTCTATCTGCACTTTTTTCCAAATCTGGGATTTTAGCTTAGTTAAGATATTTTAATGAATACGGTTAAATTTACAATTTTTATTACTCTTTAAGCTACAAAATGCATTTAAAAATTGTTCTATATTTTATTTCCAGCAATACCAATTTATTATAATGTTCTATCTGATTCGCCAATGGGATTGCGGAATTTTGGAGATAGAACATTATAATTCTGTAAATTTCAGTTTAAGACTGTAATTTCTGCGATACATGAGAGCTCTTTTGTGTTCTAATTTCGTGCTAAAAGCAAAAAAAGCAAGAATATATGGTGAAAAAATTATTCTGTTATCTATTTATTGTATTTCACTTGCTTTTTTAAATTCTAACAATAAAATGTACAAGGAATTGTGTAATAAGAAAAATATTACACCCGTTAAAAAGCGCTTTTATCGAAGAATCTTCAATTACTAAAATGGTGGTAACCTAGCTATAAAAGTAGAGAAATTTAAAAAACACTTTAAATCAAAGGAGTTTTGCAAAATAAAAGTTATAAGAACCGCCAGAATACAGATAAAACAACAGCCGTTATTTGTTTTGATATGGAGAATGTATTTGTTCTTCCACAATCTAATATTTCCTGTTTCTTTTATTCAAAAAAACTGAATACCTTTAATTCAGTTGTCATTTGCCTTAAAGAAGTGTATGGAAGAATTCCCGGAGATCAAGGAAATAACACAATGCAGGGAAAGTCCTCAGAGAATATTAATTTTAAATTACCTTATGCATCGGTAAAGGTCCTTAAATATTTACCAGAATTTCCTACGAAAATATTTTACAAAAAAGTACAAGATGACAAAGATTTTGTACAGGCAAATCTAATTTATCGTATTGGAACAATAAGCCACAAAGGATTTTTTAAGTTGCCCATGTCCGGTGGTAAAAAAATGTTTACTCGCCGAAGTTAAGGTTTATTTATACCAATTATTTAAAATAATTCCAGACGCTGATAAGCAGTTTATTAAAAGCATGTTTTAAGAATTTTAAGATAAGATGCATGAGAAAAAAATTGAAGCTGGAAAAAAGAACAAAATGTTTTTCATTTTGTTTTTCGTTTCATATTGTTTACTATATTGTGTAAGAATAAAGTTGTGAAAGAAATGCTTTTTTTATTTAAAATTCATTTAGATAGAACAAAATTTAAAATCAAATTATTTTGTATTTTTGATCTATCTTTATATTTTATTTTTGTTTATTATTCTTTTATAAAAAGTATAAATGAGCAAAACATAATTCACATAAAACTACCTAGAAAAGTCAATAAATTATATTTTGACCAAATAAAGCCAACTAAAATTGATTTTTATATGGTCAATTTTTTCCTGACAATTTATTGTTTATGTAGATATAATATTATAATTTTCGCCTCGCGACTAGTTTAATAATTTCCATTCTTCCTCCCCAGGTGACCCACGAGCTGGTGCGCCAAGTGACCAGTCCGCACAACATGGTGCGCGAGCAGTCGATGGCCTCGCTGCGGCTCTTGGCGGAGAAACAGGGTAAAAACGTGACGGCCGTGATGGAACCTTTCAAGGACGTGCTGACCGACATGGTGCCGCCCAAAAAACACCTGTTGCGTCACCAGCCGGCCATCGCCCAGATGGGCCTGATGGATGGGAACATGTTCTGCACCACTCTCACGCCCAGATTGTTCACGATCGGTAAGTAAAATTTTTTTTTTAGCAACATGGATAATCTCTGTAAATTATAAATATTTTTTTTAACTTGTTAGTCGAGGTATTCTAGCAAAAGCTACATGTTTAAGAAATAAATACAATTTTTTTAAAATTATTTTGACGGTGATTTAATCATCTTAATAAGAGATTTAACAAATTATTAAAGGATTTAACAAATATTCTAATAATATACAAACTCCCAAAAGTGCTATGCATAATTAACTTTATTTAAACAAAATATATCATCTTAATAAGAGATTTATATAATATATCATCTTAATAAGAGATTTAACAAATTATTAAAGGATTTAACAAATATTCTAATAATATACAAACTCCCAAAAGTGCTATGCATAATTAACTTTATTTAAACAAAATATATTTTTTCTACTTTTTTCTACTAAATAGTTTCTTGACGCCAATATTTGAAAAGATTATACCTATGAACGTTTGTACTGACTTTTTGATTTCGCCGTAGTAGTGCAGTTAACTAGATTTAACTGGTTTACTGTAAAAAACTGCTTCTATATCAATTGTAAGTCTATTTTCAAGGGATTCTTTTTGTACCTTTAACGTTTCCCGTGTAAGAATTTTTAATACTTTGTGATAATATTTTGCAATTATAGTAATAAAAAAAATCAAAGCATAAAATATTTTCTTAACATAATCATATTTTAAAGTTATTTTAATATTTTAAAGTATCAATAGTTGTTGGTTTAATTAAAATAATAACGGGCAATGTTAATGGTGAAAAGTACGTCAAAATGTTTATTGGGATGGTTACTTTATTTTCGTATAGATGTCGCTTTATACAAATATTTAATTTAAATAATTTTTTAGATAATATTAAGTATTTGTCGTAGAAAAAGTATAGTATGCAACTCGTTTTAGGCACTCATTTCATTAAATTCGTGACTAAAATGGCGTTTATTAAACTTGAAACATAGTATACTATTATCTACTTCTATTGCATAATATTGTTTTTTTTTTTTCGTTAATAATTATAAACATTATAAATTTCCTGCCTAACAACGAGAATAATGGCTCATTATTCACGTTGTTAGGCATTAGTGATTGGCCGATTTCAATATTCACTGTTGCGACTATAAAAATTGGTAAAAAGTGATGTTAACCATTTGACAGATGTCAGATTTTTTTATTTATTTTTGAAAATCATTAAATTATCTACTTATTGGAGTAGATAAGGTATAGTATTACACTCAAGATTATGCTGATTATTCACTAGGATGATTTAAGTCTCTTGTCTGGCGACTCGAGACGCAAACCTCATCCACGTGAATAATAGCCTGCATTACCACTCATATATTAATATACTAATTTCCTAATAAAATTAAACTAATAGTAATATGGTATAAATATTCGTATGCTTAGTTTTGACAAATAGAAACGCAATAGAAACTTAAAACAACAATAAAACAAAAAATAGAAAATTCAAAAAATTCTGTACAAAAGTGTATTGAAATCAATGTTGGATCGTTTGGAGGGGTGGTGAATCCAGTGCCGTTCATAGATTTGTTTTAAATCGCTAATATGATTTCTTAAAAATTTACTCTTAAAAACTGACCAAGTAGGTCTTGTATTTTGTAAAAATATGGCGTTTTTATCAAGATCTACACTTTAAAAGAAATCCGGTTAAAATCGCACAATAAATAAAGATTTTACAGGGGGGTATTTCCATTGTAACGGGTGCGACACTAAAACTACGTTTTTTCATGATAATTAAGTGTTTGTTCATATATGTATATCAAGATACGTTAATATAAAAAAATAATATAAAAAATTAGGTATTTAACTCAAACAAAATGTCAATAAAAACTTGTATAGAAAACCTTTTATAACGTCATGAATAGCGTAACGGGCGCGAGAAAATCGGCAAATGCGACCAAGTTGGCTTCTAAAGTTGATACTTGGATAAAAACATGTAGTAATAATTTTTTGTGTAAAACTTGAATAGTAACCTTAAACAAGCAGGTATTTTAAATGCACAAAAATTGCACACTTTATTTTCTAAAATTTTCTCAAAATGTAACGGGTGCATCATAATGTACGAATATTTTAAGGTTATAAATTACGTCGCAATTAAACTATTTGGATTCATATATAGTTGTTATTTTGTTAAATAACACATCTGATTTTTTGTCAAGGTGGGGTAAGGTTTCGTGGAAATACCCAGGGGTGAGTCGCAAACAAATGGGTCACACTGTATAATATATATTTCGATTTTATGTTAAACCAGGTCATTTAAAAAGTATTTTTTCTACGACCACTATGTAAAAGTCACTTTTCATGATGGCATCGTTGCTTAGAAAATGAATCTTTTCATTGGCAAGGCAAAACACGAATATAAAGTGACATTTCTGTGTGAAAAGTGACAGGTCTGTGTGAAAAGAAATTGACAGCATCGTTTGACATTCAGCTGTCAAAAAAGTTTTTAGGTTATTTTGCTTTGTATTTGTGAGGAAAGCTTTCTTCAAGCTCGTGTTAATGCACACTCGGCCTAACGGCCTCGTGGGCAACTTAAAAACTCGCATGAAAAAGTCGCTTTTCAACACTTGTAAAACAAATAACTATTTTAGTAGGTAGGCACCTTATCATTACACCTTTCTTTTTTTCACAGATGTAAATATAAAGGAACACAACAACTTCATTGACGATCTGAAAGCTCTGTGCGACACCGAGGACGCCAAGCTGAACACGTTCTCCTGCTACAAAAACATCACGAATTTCATTCCTCTGAAGTCGAGCGCTTTGCGCGTGCTCTCAGCTTGCCACTACATCGAGAGCCAGCGCGAACCCATTTTCCAGGTGCTGTACAGGGCGTTGGAGAAACCCAACACGGAGCTTCAAGAGACCGCGTTCCAGTGCATCAAGGACTTCATTTCTGGCTACACCATCGAGACCGAGTTTGTAAGTTTATTTGAACATTCTGCTTTTGTTTGTGTAGGTCTTAAATTAAAATTACACTGTGCAACATTTTCGGAAAAAATTAAGATGATGGGGTTCTGAAAGTATTTTCGGTTTCTACAATCAAAATCATGAATTATAGCGTTTACAGAATATTTAGATTGATTTTGTTTTTTTTTTTAATTTCAATTTAAAGTTTTAGTAATTCTGGATCCCGAAATATCGTAAAATAATAAATAACACTGTGCGACAAATTTTGACCTTACAATTTGAACTGGGATGAAATGTGGAAAAATCGAATCTATGCAACCCCCAAAACTAATCTTTAAAGGGGTTTTGCTACTTTAGCTCGAATAATGGAGATATATAAAAGCCCCTAGAACTTAAAAAATATGAATTTTATAGGAAAATGCTCGGACACGTCGATTTTTATTTTATATGACGCAATTTTCAGTTGATTTTGAAATTTTTATTTTTTCACAGATTCACCCCCAGCCACCCCACTTTTTTTTTAAGAAAACCGACCCTTTGTTATACCTTAAATAACAGGGAATGTATGTAAATGAATTAGTCAAAGGTAACTAATTTAATATTTAATAGTGGCTGCTTTTTCACTTGTGCGTTGGTTAACCATGGAATACCATGGTATCCCAAAATTTAACAGCCTATTCTTATGTAAAATTTTCCCCTGAATCAGAAAATACCGTCAAAATTTAAAAAAGTAGAACAGTTTTTGAGATATAGTCAATTCCATATTAAATGGAAAATTGACTATATCTCAAAAACTGTTCCATTTGTTTAACTTTTGACGACTTTTTCGGATTCAGGAGAAAATTTTACATAAGAATTGGCTGTTAAATTTTGGGATACCATGGTATTCCATGGTTAACTATTAAATTAGTTACATTACAGTACATTACCTGTTATTTAAGGTATACAAAGGGTCGGTTTTCTTTAAAAAAAAAAAAGGGGTGGCTGGGGGTGAATCTGTAAAAAAATAAAAATTTCAAAATCAACTGAAAATTCCGTCATATAAAATAAAAATCGACGTGTCCGAGCATTTTTCTATAAAATTCATATTTTTTAAGTTCTAGGGGCTTTTATATATCTCCATTATTCAAGCTAAACTGGTAAAACCCCTTAAAGGATTTGTTTTGGGGGTTGCATAGATTCGATTTTTTCAGATTTGAACCCAGTTCATTTTTTGTGTTGCACAGTGTAATTAGTACAACTTGGCAAATGTATCTTGACACTTCAAAAGTTTACGCCCATCGAAGCGCAGTGACCAGCTCTTAAAATAATCATTTGCATTGAAGTTGTCGTATCGTAAAGAACGTTGCGCACAGTGGATTAAAATTAAAGTAAATCAAGTATATTATATTATCCACAATCCACATTGTGATATTATCTATTAATACTATTTATTAAATAAAACAACTTTTTTTTTAAATGGATCAAGTTTGTCCGAACTGCTGTCGCTGTCGCTGTCGCTGGTCACCTCGCTGTTACTGTCCCCTTGAAAATTAATAACTAAATCATCCACGACAACATCCAAAGCCGGTTCATTTATATCAATAAAAACGTACCTAACCCCAATACATAATACATACCTTAACTTTAAAACATTTCTTGTTTACCTTAAGTATAATTATATTTATTAATACCCCATCAATATTAAGGTAGAAAATTTTACCTATTTGATCTATTCCAATTGTATAAGTAAATTTAAATTTTTTTTTAAGTAAATCGAAAATTTACTATTGTTTACTCTTAAATTTAAGATATTTATATCTTTAATAATAAGATATTTATATCTTTAATAATGTTGTTACACGGCCCGTAGTTGTCATTAAAATCTTTATTAGTTACATCCATTAAACGTTAATAATTTTTTAGCATATGCTGTGTTCTTACTATTTTATAACTTAATAATTTAAAATTTTACAAATACCACGTAAAACCGCTTTTTGGGGATTTAAGTCCTCTGTGCGGCCGATCTCGGCCGTATCATGGATCTCTTTTCTTCCGAATGCGTTCTCTCTTTAAAATTTGCGCACAAGGTTTATATCTGAAGTCTCTTTCTACATTGGCCGAGTTGTACATAAAAGATAATTATTGGTTTTGTATATTGTTTTATAAAGTAATAACAACCAAATAGAGAAAAAAAAAATTAAATAAAAAAATAATGAGAACAATAAAATGCAATTTAAAAAAAAAACTGAAACTTTTTCTGAATTTAATATGTTGTAGTGCAATTTCTTAGTTTCGCTTCAACCATAATAATAACTATGGTAATTATTATTATTAATATTATATTAATTATTAAAAACATATTCTTTTTAACAAATACAGGGTGAGTTTTAAGTTGACGCGTTCCGTTTAACAGCGTGTAGAAATCAGATAAACAAATAAATATTTTAAGTAACTTTTTTATCAAAACTCAAAAATAAGAGAGTTATAGGCCTTCCAAGTTTAATTAAATTTTGAGCCGGTCCTGGCTATTGTTAACAAAAAACATAACCATAAAAATAAATATAACAAAATAAACAAAGCAAAATGTCATCTATGACAACAAACATAACCATTTAAATCAAAATGACATTTAGCTATAAAAGTTTTTTTGTGCCTCAATTATTGTTAAAAATGGTTCCTAATTATAGCAATAATGAATTAGTGGAAATGTTACTAATTTATGGAGAGTGTCGTCAAAATGCAAATGCTGCAACTTAAGTAAATAATGACATTTTTTATTGCAAAATGTCAATTTAATTTAAATGGTTATGTTTGTTGTCAAATATGACATTTTGCATTGTTTATTTTGATATTTTTATGGTTATGTTTTTCGTTAACAATAGCCAGGACCGGCTTAAAATTTAATTAACCTTTAATGGGCTATAACTTTTTTATTTTTGAGTTTTGATAAAAAAGTTACTTAAAATATTTATTTGTCTAGCTGATTTCTACACACTGCTAAAAGGAACGCGTCAACTTAAAACTCACCCTGTAGAATGAATCAACATAAAATATATAACAAATTTTATTTATAATTTTATGCCATAATTTCCATTGCCATAGACCAACAAAAATCTGCCAACATCGAATCAAACCTCTTTTCTCTATAACGATTTTCTATTTCCATTATTGTTTGATGCTCTTCTGATTCGGTGGACAGCTCATTTTCGAACAGGTCAAGATGTGCATGGAGCAAATGTACTTTTAGTGACATGTTTACACCCATTTTTAATTTTTTATTATTTCTTTTTAATTTATTGTTATGAAAACAATTTCCTACCAGTTAATTGGTTTAAATTAATAAATAACGGTTTTTCGGGTTCCAAAATTAATAAAACTTAAAATCGATATTAAAAAAAAACCTGAATAAATCTAAACATTCTGTAAACGCAAAAAGGCATTCTTTGGATAGGAGAAACGAAAACCACTTTCAGAACCCCATCATTTTTTTTGTTTTGGTTTAAATTAATAAATAACGGTTTTTCGGGTTCCGAAATTAATAAAACTAAAAATCGATTTAAAAAAAAACGGAATCAATCTAAACATTCTGTAAACGCAAAAAGGCATATTTGGATAGGAGAAACGAATACCACTTTTAGAACTCCATCATTTGTTTTGCTGTTGCACTGTGTAATAAGCAAACTTATCTTAGTACATTGTGAATATTTTACATGTGTTTCTAAGGTTTTTAATAAACACATTCCAGGCACAGTTCTAGAAAGTCTTTATTCTTAAATCAATGAATGTCAAAAAAATGTTTATAAATTTAAAAGTTATATTAGGCATTAATCACAGATAAAAACAAAATCTAATCACAAAAAAACCTTTAAACCACTAATTCTACCTAATTTAATTTTTTCAAAAACAAATACACCCAATTATGGGCCTAAAATTACGTTGTTGTGTCTATATCAATCAAAAGTACATACCTTAACAAAGATAACACTGTTATAAACACAGATTAATGCAAAAGCAGATTTTAATAAACACAACGATGCCACAGCTTTCTCAAATGAAGATTGCTGAGAACTGGAGTATTTAGTTTTAATGTTTTATTAAAATGTCTTCATTAAGAATTTAAAAAGACTTGTCCTTTCTAGAAACCATAGAGCAATGGAGAATTAAGATTGCTTACTTTACTTTAAAAAAGATACTCTCGACAAAACTTGATTGCTCTTATGGTTTTTATAAAAATTTGCTTTTGGTTTTACAAAAATTAAATTACTGCAAATTTTAAATTGCCACAAAACATTGTTATTCATTTTTATTCGTTAGCAACACAAAACACATTTAAAATGCGCGTAAATAAATAAAAACGTGACATCACCTCACCAATCTGGCTCAAATTTCGTATAGGCCTCTCTTTAACATGTTTAAATTAAAATTTAAGAAAAAAAATATTAAAGGAATTATGTTTGCCCTTTCAAGGCTTTATAAAAATTAAAATAAAACTTCTACAAAAGCAAGAGTACACATTTTCTCATCATTGTAAAAAGCAATAAATACAGACCCAGAATAGTATATTAAACATAGACAAGGGATTGGTTGGGTGGGCGGGGGGTTAGTTACTATCGCTAAAAAAAAACTCATACAGCTTAAAAATCTAGTGTTCTTGATTTTTTATCATTTCGTTGGAGTAATTATGGCTTTTAACATGATACGTCACATTTGAAAGGTCTAAAATTAAATACAAAGTTAGGTTGAAGTTTGAAAAAAAAATTAATATTTCGTCATCCCTCTGTTTTTGTCAATTACTGCCCGCAAACGGCAAAGCATGGAAGTCGCCGTCTTGCTTTATCTCGTTCCAAATGGCTTCAATGGCTTGCCAGAGTTCGTCTGCATTGTTTGGTTGAAATTGTTGTTAAAAAAGTCATAATGGATGTGACAAAGCTCGATGTCAGCTTGACATTGACGGAAAAGTTTTATTCACACAGCCACAATATAGCTGTATGAGTTTTTTTTGTTAGCGATAGTAACTAATGTCATAAGAC